CTCCATCCCTGATCGTGCGGGAGGAAGCCAATCAGTGATTATCATTGATGGTTCTATTCCTCTCCCCTTCTCCCTTCCTCTCTGAAATCAATAAAAATATATTATTTTAAAAAGACTCCTGGAAAAAAATAGACTGAACACCTGCCTTCCTGCCTCCCCTCCCCACTAGGACCCTGTAAGACCTCAGCCCCACGGGATTTGGGGGGAGGGCACTTCCGTTTCCACGGTCCAGCTGTTGCCTGTCCTTTCTCAAGAGGGCCCTGGACTTGGTCTGGGTCCTCTGTCCCCCACTCCACTCCCACCCTGGCCTTGTCAGAGCCTACCTGTGGCGCCTCCTCATCACCCCATCCTGAGCCCCTGGCCCTTTATACAAAGGCAGGAGCCTCCTTCCAGCTGCCTCCCCAGGGGAGGGAAGCAGTGAGGCGAGCACCTGCCTGCTCCCTCATCTATCACCCTGAGCTGTGTCACCATGACATTACTCATCCTTGGCCAGTGATGAATGAGATCAGTCTAGAGAGGACCACACGCATGGGGGTGGGGGCACCCCATTCAGGACTTCTGGGCCTGGGTGCCAGAAGCAAGGTGCACTGTGTGTCTGTGTCTTGCACTGATGGGTACTCTTGTTGGTGGAAAGACATGTGTGTGGAATTCTGTGTGAGAGTGACAGCAGTGGGGTGGGGGCCGGCTGGGATTTGGAGTTTCGGCATGGCAGCCAGGGGAGGGCTGGACAAGGCTGCAGAGGGGAGTCAGAAAAGTGGGGTGAACTATGGAGAGGGGTAGACAGAAGGAGGGGCTGGGTGTCTAGAAGCCTAGCCTGGTGCCTGGTGCCAAGGGAGGGGAGCAGGCAGCTTGAGGTGTGCAGGCAGGAAGACTGACAATCGCGTGTCCCCAGGTGACCAGCAGAGCCTGCCCCTCCAGCCTGGAGCCTCCAGACCTTAGATATCCAGAGGTCAGGCAACTCTCAGCACCAGCCCAGGCAGCAGGGCGGCCACTGGCTCCTGTGACCCTACTGATCCTCTCTCCCTTCTGCTGTCAGCCCAGGAACCCTTGAGAAGTCCTTAGCTGGCCATGGAGGGGTGAGTTAGTCATCACAGCAAAGAACTGAGGAGGAAGCCTTGGCCCACAGCAGCTGGGTCCACAGGACCAGGCCTCAGACCTGCTCTGCCACCTGCCAGTTGTCACCTGTAAAGAAATAAAAAGAGCACCTAGCTCACAGGTTGCTGTAAGATTATGCTAGTGAAATGCTGAGTCACTGTGACACTTATTTCCAAGGCCTCCTGAGGGCAGGCTGGCTCCTGGGGTCTCAGTTCAGGTGGGAATAGTGGGTGCCTGTGTGGGCCGGAGTTTTGGAAATGCAGGGATGTGTGCTCAGAAGCTCGGGGGGTAGTGCTCTGTCCTGAATGGAGAGATCCAGGACGCTTCATGGAGGAAGCGGCATCTGGAGTCAGCAGTCAAGATGAGTCAGGTTAGATGCGGGGCTGCTGTCAAAGTCTGTTCTGGAAATCGCTTGCCCCCCCCCCCCCCCCCCCCCGGGGAGCTCTGAGGAGGCTGTGACAGGTGTGTCACCTGCCCCACCTGGAGGCTTGGAGGTTCCTGCTCTGACTCCCCCATCAGGAAGGAAGGGCTGTGTGAGTGTTCACCTGTCCCTGCAACACTGCGCCGGTCACAGAGGCAGACTCAGTGTTGGTTGAACAAATCTGAGCGAAATAATAAATGAGTGCTCACCCTGCAGGCAGCGGAGCCGTGGAGTTAATGAGTCGGGAAATGACAGGCTGAACACTCTGGGCAATTGAGGAGAGGCCAGTGGAGACGGTAGGAGCCTGGGAAGGCTGCCCCGCAAGGCCAGGCTCAGGGACACTGAAGACTCTAACAGGGGAGCAGGGCCGGGGGGAGGGGGGAGGGTGTCTGCGCTATTTGGGCCCAAGCTTCCCAGAGTCACTGCATTTGAGGACAGTGCCTGGTGGGGAGGGAGGCCACCTCCCAGGTGTAACGCTGGCCTTCAAGTCCTCTAAGGGTGGCTGGGGGCAGCATCTTTCCCCCCACTTGGGCCTCCAACTTGAGGTTACCAGAGGATCTACCTTGCTGCTGGCTGTGCTGACATTTTGAACTGGGCCCTACTCCTAGCTTCTCTCTGGGAAAGAGTTTTACCTGCCACTCGAAGAATTCCTGGCCCATTGGAGCCTTTGGGCCCAACCTGCCCCCCAAAAAGAAGAGACAGAGTCCAGTTCAAGACCAAGACTGAGGGGATGGCACCCTCACTTCCCCTCCACACTCTCTGGACAGCCCACACCTGCCGCATCTGCAGAGCTGAGACCAAGGCCCCAGCTGCCTGTAGGCCAGAGGTGTGCCTCCTCCAGGGGCTGTGCCCAGGCTGCTCCTCTGGCCAGGGGGCCAGCCCTGAGAGCTGCCCTGAGCTCTGTGTGACAGGCCAAGGTTTGAACCCACCTGTTTTGGACAACGTCCATTCCAAGCCAAAGCCAGACGCTGCCAGTCCTGCCCGTGTCTCCTTTGTGCAAGCTTGTTAGAAAATCCCGAATACAGCGTTCATTACAACTGCACCCAGGTGTTCAGAGTGAGGTGCTGAATGGGGACATCTTGGAGCCAAGTGAATGCAGTGAGTTCAGTCGTGGGAAGAGGGTGGAAGCTTGGATGTGGACAGAGCTCTGCGAAAGGCTTGGGCTCAGACCCCACCCCTGAGGAGGCACCCAGCACCAGCTGGGCAAGTGCCACCGAGAGGGAGCCACACCTTCCACACGTGCATTCAGGACGTCTGCGATCTGAAGCCCCCAATCTTGCCTCAGCCTCAGCCTGCCCACTCTGGGGATGGTGACAGGAAGCGCCTGCCCCAGGGTGCTCATTTCTGCAGTTACCATAATTGCTGGGGTCTGTGCCTGTGTTCAGCCCCCACCTCTGCAAACCTCAGCCCCTCCCCCTGGCGGGCAGATGCATACCCAGGGTCACCACCGTCACTGCCCTCCCCTCTGCCAGTGCCTCGTTGGCACTACACTGGTGTCTGGACTGCTTGCTCAATGCCTGTCCACCAGACCAGGAGCCCAGCACCAGACACAGGAAGACAGGGTAAGCCAGGGAGCAAAAGCCGCATCTGCAGGTGCTCAGGTCCAGGTGCTGGCTCTGCACCCAGGGAGGCATAGACCCAGACGCAGACTTTTCCTCTCCTCTAGTCAGGGGCTGGGCTGGGCTGTCTGTGGGCCTCTGCTGTGCTGATGACGAGGATGGCTGCCCTTACTGACCAAGTGCCCCAGGACTCCCTGGTTTGGCTTCACTGGCAGAGGGAGGGTCTGAGAGCACACAGGCTAATGCTCAGAGCCCTCAGCTCCAGGGCCAGGGGCTGGGGGTCCTGCCATTGAGGAGGAGGGAGGATAGAGCTCCTCTGGAGTCCCCACAGCCAGCAGCCGCTGACAGCCAGGCCCAGGCAGGCAGGACCCTGGCAGTGTGAGCGATGGTGGGCTGAGCGATAAGAAACTAATAATTTATGTTTCCAGCTCCACGGCCCTGGCGCCGAGGGAAGGCTGGGCCACAGCCGCCTCCTCACTCCAGCAGCCGCAATCCTTTATTGCGCAAATTATTAACGACCAGAGAATGAACGACTCCATAATCAGATCAGTGCTGCCAGCACTTTTCATTTCACTTATTTGTATAAATTCTGAAGTTGGGGTCTAGCCTGAGTTCAGAAAGCCAGGATCATGCTGGCTGGGTGCCCAAGGCTGCCTCCCCCACTCCTCCCTGCTGGACAGAGCCTGCCCTCTCTCCCCTCCCCCAGGACTCCAGGGGTGATGAAGACAGAGAGGGCCAGGAAGGTCAGAGAGGGGGTCCACCAGGTGGGACTGCGCTGGAACCTGAGTTCACGTGGGCTCCGTCCTTCTCCTGCCCCAGGGCCACTTCCTGCCTGCTCTTAGAGGCAGGGGCTGGTCCCGGGCTGGCGAGTAGGAGAAAGCCTCCCGTGCTGAGTGAAAACCTGTCCAGGCCAGCATCCCTCCGAGGCCCAGGCCTGGACACACCTGCCCCTCCTGTCCTCCCCTCACTGAGCCTCACAGATGTGTCTTCACCTGCCTTCGCTCCTGTCCTGCTGCGGTTGGGCTGGGCCGTCGGCTTCCTTGGGCCGGGGACTTAGGCTGTGAGGTTTTCGGTGGCAGCACCAAAGAGCGAGCTGCCTGGAGTCCTCCTGAGTCCACTTTTAATCTCATTGACCTCTCGTTATACTACAGCGCATAAATTCCGATTTGGAGCGCTTATGTTCCATCATAAATTGGGCTGGCAGACTTCCGATCAACAAGATAAAGCTGTCTCCTGTGAGGTGGGTGTTTTATTAGTCTTGGCCTCGGCGCTGCAGGCAGGGGGCGGGGGCCAGGCCTCAGCTCAGCAACCCCCCTGTGCTGCTCAGAGGGGCTGCTAGTGCCTGAGGTCTGAGTCCCTCCTGCTGTCATGGGCAGGCACCAGGACCTGAGACCACATCCCCATAGCACCAGCGTGAGCAGCTGCCAGATCCCCGGGCTGGGCACTGGAGGGACAAGACAGAGGCCTGTGCACATGCGTGCCCTACCTAGAGGTCATGTCTTCCTTCAAAAGCTCCATCTCTGTCCCCTTGCAGACACTCTGGCCCAGCTCCTGGCCCAGCCTGCCAGCACCCTCTTCCTCACCCATTCTAAGTTCAGTTCAGTGGAGTGTCTCTGAGCAACCTGGCCTCCCACAGCCTTGGCAGCACCTCAGAAAGCCTGTGGGACCAGCATATGTGCCCTAACGGAAAAGGAGAGCAATCCTGGGAGGCTTCTAGGAGGAGGGAATGCTGCTGTGAGTCTGGAAAGTACGTAGGTGGGAACAGAGCTGAGATGGCCACAGGCACAGTGGGCATAGCACCTGGACCTGGTATTTTTAGGGACCACAAATGTATTTGAGAAAGAAAAAATAATATAATAATAACAAATATCAGACATTGAATCAGCATGGATTGTATGCGTCTTCACACCAACACAGTTGTGGAATAGAATTTACACATTTTAATGGAGGAGGCTCGCAAAAGCAAGGTACTACACTAGTTGTAATGGGGCCCTGAGTGGGTGCAGAATAGTGATGTTGGGGACTGGGCTCCTGGGCCCAGGCAAGGCCTGGAGGGCAGGGAGCCCGGACTGTTCCCGGAGGAGGCCCTGGAAAGCAGAGAGGCCGATGTGCCCATCAGTCGCTAGTTGAGTTGGACAGAGTCTGGGGCTATCATGGAAGGAGTGAGGGGTGAGAGGGGCCTGGGAGGGAGCACAGGGGGGAGTCCAAGTGAGTGCAGTTCTCTGGTGACTGGGGGCCCGGTGGTGAGGCGACCTAGTGAAGGGCAAGGGCTGTAGGGACTGTGAGTGGACGCACATGGCAAGCTGTAGACTCTTGAGTGTTTGGGCTGAAGCTGGAGATGCAGAGCCACAATCTATAAAGAAAACCACAGAAGAACGCACACAAGGTAAGAGTGAGCCTTGGCCAATGTGGCTCAGTGGCTAGAGCAGGGTCCTCACACTTTTAAACAGGGGCCAGTTCACTGTCCCTCAGACCGTTGGAGGGCCGGGCTATCGTTTAAAAAAAAAACTATAAACAAATTCCTATGCACACTGCACATATCTTATTTTGAAGTAAAAAAACAAAATGGGAACAAATACAATATTTGTATTTGCATGTGGCCCGCGGGCCGTAGTTTGAGGACCCCTGGGCTAGAGCATTGGCCTACAGACTGGAGGGTCCTGGGTTTGATTCCGGTCAAGGGCACATGCCTGGGCTTTAGGCTCGACCCCCAGTAGGAGGTGTGCAGGAGGCAGCCGTGCACTGATTCTCTCTCACCATTGATGTTCTATCTCTCTCTCCCTCTCCCTTCCCCTCTGAAATCAATAAAAATGTATTTTTTTTAAAAAAGATAAGAATGGAACCTAAGGTAGAACTCACCCATCCGTTTACTTATCCATCTACCAACCCTCCACCCATCTACCCACCCACCCATCCTAGGTTGGAAGAGTGGGGAGGCAGCAAAGCACCTCAAAGAGTGAGAAGTGAGAGAACAGGAGGCTGATCTGAGAGGAGGGTCTCGGGGCATGTGCAGCTCACCCAATACACAGCGAGGCACCAGCTGGAAGCAGTGTGCAGGGCCACCCCATTGTGACACACAGACACAGAAGAGAACGTGACCCCTGATGGCTCACCGGCCATAGTAATAAAGAAACCCGCACACAGACAGCACCCACAAAGACATCAGTGCACCCACAAGGATGTCACTGACTCAGCCTGCATTTAGAAGAACAGGTCGTGTAGCTGGGAGTCCAGGGCTCGGCCTCAGGTGGTGTTGGGCTAAATATATGACCTCAGAAAGCCAGCCTGGCCAGAGCTGTGGTGGGAAACACGGTGAAACTCATGTTCACCTTTGCATGTCACTTCTGAAAATCCCTGAGAAATCAGTGGTGACAAAGTGACGGTTGGCCGTCTGGTGAGCCTGGTGGTGGGACTGTGTGGGAGGGAGGAGGCCTCTGGCAGTCAGCTGTACTGGGCGTGTACCTGTTTCTTCATGCAGGAGGGGGCACATCTGTGCCGCCCTACACCGCCAGCATGGACCTTAGGACAGCACCACACCTGTCCTTGGGCCCCACCCTCAGCTCTGAGTCTGGGCAATACCTGCTAAAAATCCAGGGTGCTGACCCTGGGCCCTACGGGAGAGCCTCCTCTCTGTGAAAGAGGATGCCTGTGGCCATGGGAGTTGGGAGGCCCAGCTGGGCTGAGAGGGCCACACCAACGGTGTGTGCAACCAAATGCTGGCATGCGGGTAAGTCAGTGAACTACTGCTCGCAAGGCACTCCTGTACGGCAGGAAGTCCACCATATAAAGTCACTTCTGGACAGTCTGGACTCCCTGCACAGCCTGGCCAGCAACTTCTGCCACCGCCCCATCAGCCCCTTGGACCCAGCCAGCTTCCCTCTAGGCTTCTGCTCCCAGCGTCCCCACCTGGGTGTCCCCTCTTCAACTTCCACCTGCAGAAAGCCCACTCCTCTTCCAGCACCCACTCCTGCTGCCCCCTGGGGCCTGATCGATGCCCAGTGGCTGAGGATGGCACAGCCGTGTGCCCCTGTTGGGACTGTGGTTGGTTCTGAGCCTTGCAGGTCTGCCCAGCCCACGACAGGTAAACATGCAGAGTGGATGCATGACCAGCACAGTCGGGGTTGACCCTCCAGGGCATAGCCCTCCCCAGTGAGGAGCATGGGTCCCCAAGGTCTTCCTGTGGGATCTGTGTTGCACATGAGCTGATGTGCACAGCAGGACTGAGGTCACAGGAGGAGGGAAGTACAGATGCACGAGGACAGGCCTCTGCTGACTTCGACATGAACATGTGAGCACCTGGGCGTCCCTCCACCCTCAGGTCTGGATCTGTCCTCCCTCACACTCAGCCGTGCTGGCACAGTTTGGAGGTGTGGGGGCCCCAACTCTGCCACTCAGCTCTGGTCATCTCCCTGACCTGGCGTCTGGAAGAGGGGCCATTGTGGTGCTGCAATGGCTTGTGCCACGAGGGGTGCGGACTGCACAGGACCTCCGCGCCCACAGCCACACCCCAGGGCCGCAGCCACATCCAGGACTCCTCCCTCCCTGCCTCCAAACCCCAGGCCAGGTCCAGGCTGCAGGGAGAGGAAGGGTGGAACCAGCCTTAGGCCCTTCGTGGGAGACTCTTCTGCTCCCAGCTTCCTGGAGGGCTCTACTCCTTCCTCTTGCTTGGCACCATGCTGGGGATCCCCCAGCTCCTGCACTCCCAGCCCATTCCTGCAGGAGCATGTAGGGTGTTAAGTTAGTTTACACCCTGGATGTGTGTGTGGCGAAGCTGTCAGCATCTGCGCACCCATCCTGTCCGTGCACATGGGTGTGAGCACACATGCAGGTGGCTGTTTGAGCTTTCAAAGGCACGAGTCTATTACTGACTGGGTGTTGTGTGGGCACAAGTGTGTGTGCAATGAGTGTGCTTCCTCATAGCTCAGTGTCAGCTCATTCCACACCTGTGGGGCCAGTGCCACTGTCCTTGCATACCTTCCCCAGTGGGAGCAGGTCTAGGCCTGCCCTCCTCCAACCCCCATCTCCCTGGATGAGCACAGGCCAGGGGCGGCCTGCACCTGGGTCTCAGGGACACGTTGCTTCCCTGCAGCCTCCCCTCTGGATCTCTCTTCCTAGGATGATACCACATCTGGCGCTCCGTAGATGATTGACTGATGAAGCATGGGTGGAAAGAGGGCGCCAAGGGGTGCAGTCTGGAGAGGGGCATTGGCAGCACTCCAGGATGGGAGGGTCCTGGCAGGAGCACCAGTTGGGGCCGGGGTCAGGCAGCGCCAGAGGGGGCGGTCAAGCCTGGCTGAGCCCGGGTTGGGGGCAGCGAGGTCGGCCGCCGCCTCCGCGTTCCCCGGGGAGGTCTCGGGTCGCCGTCTGCGCCGCCCGCCGGGTTATTTATGATCCCCTCCCCTCTCTGGCGGCGGCGGCGGCTCCGGCGGCGGCTCCGGCCTCAGCCCAGCAGCGGAGGGCCCCATCAGGGGGACCGCGACCAGCGACCGACCGCCTGCGCTGCGGAGGCGGGGGCGGGGCCTCGGCCTCGGCCGCTGGAGGTGTGGCTGTGGCCGCGGACCCACCTGCTCCCCGCGCCCCCCGCCCCCCGTGTGGCCTGGAGGGGGATGATTCCAGCCTCTGGCCCGGGTCTGAGAAGCGCAGCGGTTCCTGTGGGTCCGGGTGGACAGGTGGGAGGAACTGAACGGATCCTCGCGGGAGGGGGACGACCGGGGTGGGAAAGCCTGGTCCCCGTGGGAAGGCGGCTCTGACCCGGGAAAGCAGACGGTGTGTTTCCCATGAGGAGGAGGAAACAGGTGGGAGGAACCTCCCTGGTCACCAGGCCCCGGAAGGGGAGCCAGCAGGGGGCTTTGCACTGTCACCATCTTTTCAGGAAAGGACCCTGGTCCTCTAGAGCAGCGGTCGCCAACCTTTCGGACGTCACTGACCACCAGTGGGCGACCGCTCTAGAGAGGAGTGGAGCCAGACCGTGGCATGGAGGTTGGGCTGGCAGAGTGAGCTTAGCCCCACACCTTGCCAGCTGAACCCCTTCTCTGAAAGCCAGAGTTGGGGCCCCCAGGGCCCTCCTTAGCCGCTGCAGGCTGTGATGAAAGTGTGAAAGGTGGTTTTACAGAAGGAAAGGGAGGTCCCCTCTGCAGGCTCAGGGTGTGACCGGACAGTGCGCACACCGGCCTCCCACCAAGCCCTGGCATCCCTGCATTAACATGATGGCTCCTCCATGGGCCGTGGCAGTAGACATGGAGGCAGCACGCCTAAGAGCAAGACACAGGCCGCAAGGGTGGCCGTGAGGGGAGCTCCCACTATCAGGCTATGTAAGGGCTCAGGCTGCAGATGGGGCAGAGGGGGCTCAGGTGGTGCAACAAGGAGGGGCCACTCACTCATGTATACCCACTTTCCCATCAGCAGACAGATGTACCGGGAGTGGAGGAAACAGAAGGGGTGCAGAAGTTCGGGTGCACTGACCAGTCAGTTCCTGGTCTGACCCCAGACCGCCATCCGCACGCTGGTCTTGGTGCCTCAGCTGAGGATGAGTGGGCAGTGGGTCTGTGAGGGAAAGCAAAATGGTTGCCAATGGTCAGCCACATGCCCGGTAGGAGGTGAGTGGCGGTGATGTGTCCCCTCACTCTCAGCCCCTCCTTTGCAGAAGGTGCTGGTGCAAGCTGTGACCCAGCTCGCCCTGCAGAGACTGGTCAGGGAGATGCCCTGCCGGTTGCATCTCGGAGGGGCAGGGATTGGGGTCTGGCTGCTGGGTTGGGATCTGAGGCTACTTCCAGACTGTCCACAATGACACACCAGAGAAGACAAGCCTGTCTCAACAGCTATTACCACAGCCATAGCCTCCAGGTTTCCCAGCTTCCCTTCCTAATTCTCCCGGTGCAAGGATGACATGCTGACCTGCACAGAGGTGTGGGCTGGTCACCAGGGGACAAGCCACCCTCATTCCGGCTCTCCAAGGCACTGAGGTGGACAGGGATGTAGCAGGTCCTCTCCCCAGACTTGCTCCTCACAGGAAACAGGATGTGCTCAAGGGCACATCCTTCCCTTCTCCTCCCCACCCCCTCCAATCCATCCCTCACCTAGACTAGGTCCAGCCCACCTTCTTGCCCCACACCTTGGCGCAGATACTGTTTGTACTGGATGTGAAACAGCCGGGTGACATCAGGAGTGTTACTTGACTTTTCTGTGTCTCACCTTTGTCACCTATGAAATGGGAAAGATAAGGAAATAATACTGAAATGGTCAAACGAACTAAGGCATATAAAGCAGCAATCAGTAATCAATAGAAGTGTGATTGTTATTAACAGAACACAAACCCTCCCACCTCCGTTACCAACGCCTCACACCACAAACCCAGGCCTCACACCCAGTAGATGCAGAGGAGCCCCCCCCCCCCCAAACACACACTGATGCCCACCACCCGCAGGCACTGGGCAAACCACACACTTGCGGAGGAAGTTGGGGGGGGGGGGCAATCTCGGATCTCCTCCTCTGCCAGGAGCCCACTCCGGATCTGGGGCCGCCACCACCCCACGTGGAGTCACAGACTCCAGCAGCGGGCCCCAGATAGTAACTCCCTCAACAAAGGCGCTTTTCCTGCGCGCCGGCTCTGGCTAGCCCGCCCCCACGATAGGTCTCCCTTCCTCCTACCTTCAACCTATCAGGGGGTGCAGCCTGGTCCCGCCGCCTCCTTGTGAGCCGGGTCGGCCTTCACGCACCCCCTGTTGGAGCCCGCGCCCGCCCGCCCGCCCGCCGCGCCGGGGCCTTTTAAATGGGCCAAGTTGTGGCGGCGGCGGCGGAGGCGGCGGCGGGAGTCTCCCAAGTCCCCGCCAGGCGGGCGCGCGCCAGTCTACGCGGGTGCGCAGCCCGGGCGGCGGGGCGGGGCGGGGCGGGGGCCTGGGACCCCCGGGAGGGGTGGGGCGCGGGGCCCGAGACTTCAGGACTCCTCTCCGCCCCGCTTCGCCCGGAGGGCAGACCGGCGAGCGGCGGTGGGGGCGGGGCCGCCCCAGGGGGCGCGGGCGCAGGTGGCCCGGCGCCCGGTGGAGCCCCAGGGTCCTGGAGCTGCGGCGGTCGGCACGTCGATCCGGGATCGATAGCAGCTCCGGCAGCACCATGTCTCCGTTAGCCGAGGCCCTGCCCGCCAGCTGGGCAGCTGTCCGAGGTGGCCCGGCGGGAGGCGCGGCGGCTGCCGGCGCCGGGGCGCAGTAGCGGGCAGGGCAGGCGCACGCACGGCCAGGCGCCTCCCGGGTCCCCTCCCGCCAACGAGACCCTACTCCAGGCCGGGAACAAGTTGCGCCGGCGGCGGGAGCCAGGCTGCAGGACCACTGGCCCGCCATGCCGGCGGTCAAAAAGGAGCTCGCGGGTCGCGAAGACCTGGCCCTGGCTCTGGCCAACTTCCACCCGACCCTGGCGGCTCTGCCGCTGCCGCCGCTCCCCGGCTACTTGGCGCCACTGCCCGCCGTGGCCGCCCTGCCCCCAGCCGCCTCGCTACCAGCCACGGCCGCCGGCTACGAGGGTCTGCTGGCTCCGCCGCTCCGCACCCCGCGCGCCTACCTGAGCCTGAACGAGGCCGCCCCACACCTCCACCTGCCCCGGGACCCTCTGGCCCTCGAGCGCTTCTCGGCCACTGCGGCCGCGGCACCGGATTTCCAGCCGCTGCTGGACAACGGCGAGCCGTGCATCGAGGTGGAGTGCGGCGCCAACCGCGCTCTGCTCTACGTGCGCAAACTCTGCCAGGGCAGCAAGGGCCCATCCATCCGCCACCGCGGCGAGTGGCTCACCCCCAACGAATTCCAGTTCGTCAGCGGCCGCGAGACGGCCAAGGACTGGAAGCGCAGCATCCGCCACAAAGGTGCGCCCGCAGTGGGGACCCGGGCCGCCCCGGTGCCTGACCTCCGCTCCCCGAGGATCCGTGGGTCCGGACCCCACTCATCCGCCATCTGGGAAAACTCCGTCACCGCCCAGAGAGGGCGCTGTGGCTCCGGGGCTGCCGCAGGGACACTCCTCCCCCCGACCCCCACCCTCGCTTTGCACCGTCTCCTCTGTGGACCCGGGCAGGGCGTCCGCTGCGCACTAGCCAGCTGCTCCTGACGCTCCGGGGGTCTTGGCAGGATTGCTGGGCCTCGGGACGCAGGGAAGTTACGGGAACTCGGGAGAGCAGGCGGGAGGAGGGCTGGGCAGGATACTCGCCCTCACCCGGACCCCGGGGACCCCGGAGCCACGGGTTCTGGCGGGAGTGGAGGGCACACGTGCGGCCGAGGTGTGGGTGCGAGCTGCTGGAGAGAGGGCGAGGTGTAGGGCTGGAGCAGGCAGGTGGGGGCCGCGGGTCGGCGCGTCCGGTCGGGGGCGCGCGCGGAGCCGGAGCGGCATCGAAGCTGGGAGCAGCCTGTTGGGCTCCTGCAGGAGTCAGGCTCTTCGGGCGTGACCGGCGGGCGCCTAAGCGGGCAGCCAGGAGAAGTGCGGTGAGATGGGGTGGGGGGAGTTAGAAAGTTAGGGACCCAGTAGCGTTCGACTTTGGGGTTCGCGAGTCCACAGTGGCCCCCCTCTTCCCGCTACGGGGTCAGGCGCAACCCAGGTCCTGACTGTGCCCTCCTGGGGTCCCGCAGCCCGGCTCGGAGCGGGTGAAGCTGGAGGAGGGGCGCGGGAGGGAGGAGGGGCGCCCTCGGTCGGGGAGGGCGCTCGCCCGGGTCTTCAGTTTCTGAGCTCTGGAAATCCCCGCGGGACCCACGAGGATGGGGTGGGCGGCAGGGCTGGTGGTGGGTTTGGAAGTTGGACTGAGGTGGGTGTGCATATTCGTGCCGGGAGGGGGCCCCAGCCCTGCTGCTGACTGCACCCCGGAAGTGCCGCCCACGCCCTCACCGGCCCTGCCTGCCTCTCCTCACAGGGAAGAGTCTGAAGACGCTGATGTCCAAGGGGATTCTGCAGGTGCACCCCCCAATCTGCGACTGTCCGGGCTGTCGGATCTCCTCCCCGGTGGTGAGATGGGGGAGAAAGTGGGGCTACGGGGTCCTTCTTTCTTTCCGGGGGAGCATGTGCTTATTTTGTAGGATCCAGAATCCTAACCTCACTCTGCCAGTGTGCAGGAGGGAGCCCCCCGGGCAAATAGGGGCGACATTGCTTGGGGTGGGAATCCTGGGCACCTGGAGCCCCCACCCCTTTGGATCCTGCCTATCCTGAAGCTTTTCTTTGGGAGTCTTGGAGCTGCTTCTCCCAAGTCCTGAGAACACTCAGGGTGTGAAGTTTCCTCTCTGGAGAGTCTCTTCCAAATGGCTTTGGAGATCTTGCCCTCAGCAGTCTGGGGGGTCACCATGTCACCTGGCCAGCTTGGAAGAGGAGCTGGTCCTTGGTAATGCTGGTTCTGGGGTGTGACAGTGTTGGCCCCCCGATGTGTGTCTGGGGTGGTTATAGGCTTGGATGTGAATGATGTGCCTCTTTGGGTACCCACAGCTGGAGCCCTGCGGGGCAAGACCTTGGGTGTGCAAGACTGCCTAGGGCAGCTCGGTGCTGTGTGGGCCTTTGGTAACCAGAACTGAGGCTGGTTGGAGGCTGGTGTGGGGCCCCCAGCCCAGTGTAGACATGGCCTAGGGGAGCCGAGCAAAAGGTGCTGTGCCTGCCCCAGCACATGTCTTCCAGGCAGTAGCAGGTGGAGGGTTGACCTGGAAAGGAAATCGCATCTCAAGAAGGACCAATTTTGAGCCCCTGGGGAGAGCCGATTAGAGCCCTGGCTGCGTGGTGGGTGGTTGTGCTGCTCTTACTGGCACCACCCAGCAGCCCTTCGTGCAGGAAGGGGTGGGAGAGGCAGAGGCCTGAGAGGGCCCAGGGTCCCTGGCCTTTACCTTTGGCACAGCTGTCGGTTGGGGGAGGGAGGAGATGTCCTGGGTTCTTCTTGGCCCCTGGCGGCAGGGAATCTGGAGAAACTAGGAAGTCACAGACACAACTGTGAAGACAGCACCAGGTCAGATGCACACACTGGGCAGGGGGGGAGGGACTCACTGCATGTCCACCGCACACATTGTCTGACATGAGCTCATCACCCACAGGCGTGCCCACACCAAAGACAGTGTGTGCACAGGTAGCCCACCTCCTGCCATGGCCTCCGTACCTTCCTGGGGCCGGAGACCAAGCTCGAGCTCCACTTCTGCGCCCTCTCAAGCAGCTGGTGCAGAGGAGGGGTCCTCGCCTCCTCACCAGCCTTTCCGTTCAGGTGGGAGGAGCCTGCCTTCCCACAGGAGTGGGGGGCAGGTGGCCTGAGCCCAGGACCAGTTCCTACGGCTGTGGCTTGGCTGGTGGTTCGGACAGGGATGGGGACACAGTTAGGGCTGCCTGCCTGTCCAGGGCTCCCAGGCTCCTGCTTTGCATGAGTGATGGCTCAGACCTGGGCTTGGTCCTCCTGAGCCGGGTCCCTCCCAGGCCTGGCACTGTACCCGCCCCTAAGGAGCCCCATGGAATTCCTGTCTTTCCAGCCCCCACTTTTGCACACAGACTGGCTTCCCCCACAGCCAGCTCTACAGGTGTACGTACACCACAGTCACAGATACTCAAGGGGCAGAATTTGGGTCCGTGGCACAGGGATCATGCAGCCACACCAGCGGCCACACTTGATGCCTGAGGAGCCAGTATTTGGCTAGGGGAGGAGGCTCAGCACCCAGTTTTCAAATCTGTGCTGCTGAGCGGGGACAAGTGGCTGAGGTTTCCAGTGTGCGTGGAAGGCATGCATGTCCCCTGTACTTGGCCGGGGTCAGGGCTGCCCATCCTGTTTCTGTCTCTGAGCCCCCCTCCCATGGGAGCACCCACAGGAGCCACCCTAAGCCAGCATAGCTGGTCTGGCCTCATCGAAAGCAGTAGTCTTAACCTGCCATTTCCCTCTCCTCTTCCCTATCCTACGGGTGAGAAGCAGAGGGCACGCCTTTCCTTTCCTTAGGTGGGTTTGATTCAGCAGGAAAGGTGGTCCTGGTGCTTGGCCTACAGCAGGCTAGAGAAGGCCAGAGCTGAGCGGGACCTCCCAGCAGAGTTGCACTCCAGACAGGCGGGGAGCTGTTCCAAACTCCCACACCCACTGTCTGCCACGTGCAGGTATGGGGACCAGACAGTGGTTACCTGTGCAGCCTCACTCATGCTCTGCTGTTGCTGGTGACGAGCTGGGCCGGGGTTAGGGTCAGAGAGGGGCCATGGAGCAAGCCCTGTCTTGTAGGCTATTCACAGACTGACCCCCCACCCCAACCCTGTGCCAGACCCTGGCTGCCCAGTCTGTCTCACTGAGTGCCGCAGAGGAGACTGGAGGGTAGACTCCTGAGGGCAGGTGTGGAGGAGACCAGGGGGCCTGGGCGTGGGGGTGCTATGTGTCTGGAGGTGATGGTGGACTAAAGAGAACCTTTACTCTGAGGACAGGACTGATGGCTGCAGAGCTGGTCCATTGAGGGGCCAGGTACCCCTGACACTTTGTTCCTCAAGCTCAGGGGTGTGCTGGGGATGCCTTGTCCTGGCAACAGAAGGAAGGAGGTCAAAGGAGGCCCCTGGGACTGAAAAGATGAGAGAGAATTAGATGATCCCAAGACCCCTGCCACCTCCCTGAGCCAGTAATCTGTTACTAAATAAGAAAAAGCTCCCTGCCCACCAGAAAACCATCACTGCCTTTTCTTCTTCCCCTGGGGTGGCGGGACCTGAGCACACGGGACAGTGCCATGTGTGTAGGCAGCTCGCCAGCGTGTGTGCGCCAGCTCTAAGCATGCATTAGTCTGTGTGAGTGCCCTGTGCGTCTGCATTCCGGCTCAGGCACCTCAGCTCTGTGCCATGAGCCCTACCTGGTCATGGTGGGTGCAGGGGTGGGGCTGAGGGGCCTTGTGGAAAACTGGATCTCCCAGGGCTCCTGGGCTCACAGTGCTGGGCTGGCCAAGTGATCTGTGAACCCCAGGCCTGCGATTGGCAAGGGGTTCAGACCCCGTGGGACCTGGGCTCTGCATGGCTTGGTCTCCGTTGGGGGTTCATAGAGTCTGAGTAGGGTTGCCAGGCAGACACGCACGCACACATGGAGGGCACTGCATGTCAAAAGAGTCACAGGATGCAGAGGGGCTGTGGTGCAGACAGATGACCCCTCTGAGCTCGGAGGAACTGGGGAAGCCGGGTCTGCCTTCAGGTGGCGTCTCACACTCAGGCTGATGGCCGGGACAGCTGGGCTGGAGTGTGCAGTCTGGACAAGGCAGTGCCCAGAGCAGCCTGGCCAGGGCCACCCCTGAGCCTCAGCCCTGGCCAGGGTGGAATGGTGTCCATGGAAGGGCTCTGCCCGAGGCCTTGTCTCCCTGCTCTTGGCCTCTGGTCACTTGTGGCTTTTGCCAACCCTGGGGCCCATTCTGGAGGCTGTGGCTCCCTACCCTTGGCCAGGGCAGCGGGGAACATGTGCTGCTGACTGTGAGGCTCTGTCACCTGGGCCTGCCTGGGGGTCGGGCCGTGGTGCAAGCCACCAGAGGGCCGAGGGGCTAACCTTCCTCTATTCCCTCTCTGCCCAGAACCGGGGGCGATTGGCAGACAAGAGGACAGTCGCTCTGCCTCCTGCCCGGGTCTTGAAGAAAGAACTGACCCCCAGCTTCATAGCCAGTGATGGCGACAGCGACGGGAGCGGGCCAGCCTGCGGGCAGCGGCCTGGCTTGAAGCAGGAGGACGACACACACATCCGGATCATGAAGAGAAGGTCCTTTCCCAGGGCGAGGGCATGGAGGGCATATGGGCTCAGGTGCCAGATGGGACTTCAAGGCAGGTCTGCAGGCAGCTGGAGGCAGGTCCAGGCCTGGAGGGACTGGACCCGGGTTTAGCTTGTGTGCCTCAGCGGAAACATGCCAGTCCCTCCATCTCATGGGACCACAGTGAGAGCCCACCTTGCCCCACGTGGGCAAAGGGCCACGCCAGAACTGGATCAGCATTGTTGGGGAGCGGGCACAACAATGGGCTGAGGAAGGAAGGGGGACTCTGCCCAAGGGCTCCGGGGGACAGGGAGACCCGGGCAGGGTTCGGGAAGGGGTGCGTGGTCCCACCACAGCCAGGCGAGGGGTGGGGAGTGGGTGGACCCTCCCTTTGGGCAGCCCCTATATACTTGTGCTCATGTTCCTTGGCAGGTGGTGGCTCTGCTGGGTCCTCACTGTCCCATCCCAGGCTTGGGCCACTCTTCCTGACTTCCCACGTCTCCCCTCACGGCCGAGGAACCTCCTTCTGGCCACTGACTTCTCTGTCCATCCATCCAGAATTTCTAGGCCTCTTCCCACCTAGTCTTCCAGCACTTTCCAATGTCTCCTACCCTAGTAACCCTCTCAGACCGCAGGACCCCACTGCCAAGCCCACACCCACACCTGGGAAGGTGAAGCACCACAGGCTTCCCCCTGCCTCCTCAGCCCGTGGTCTTTCCAGGGGCACTGCTGTGGCGGAGGACCCGGGCACGGGGCAGAGCTGTTTCCTGCCTGACCTCTGGTCCTGGCGTCCCCGCTGCCTCCGTAGTGCAGTGGTCACTTTTGGGAAGGCAGTTGGCAACAGCTGGGACCCCGAGGCCTATACCTGGGCTGACATCCAGCCATTGGCACTGGCAGCAGTTGCCGGCTCATTCCTGGCTTGGTTCCAGCCCAGCTGGGGTAGCTCTAGCCACTCGGAGTTTGGTTTGGTCACATGAGTGACATGCAGAGGGAGCTGCAGCCCCCACCCCAGCACAGCGTTCAGCTCTCGCGGTCCCAGCAGGGACGGTGCCTCAGCTCTGTGCTTCCCGCCTCCTGGGGGCAGCCCTCGCGGTTGAGCTGGTTCCGGGTGGCGTTGGAGACAGGCCTGAGCCGGCGCAGTTCCTCAGGGGGTGCTGGGGGCAGATGAGGGACTTGCCACACACCCGTCTGCTGTCCAGCTGCCACCCTAGAGGCCATGCTGACTCTCCTTCTTTCCTCCCAGGGTCCACACCCACTGGGACGTGAACATCTCCTTCCGGGAGACGTCCTGCAGGTGAGGTCGGGGCCTGGGCCAGGCTTCCTCCCACAAGTGTGTCTGCTTCTAGATCTCTCCGGCCTCCTCCTTCCTCCCCTCCTTCATCGCGGTCTGTCTGTCTGTCGCCTTGTCCCTGGGCCTTGGCAGCACAACCCTGGAGCCAGAGTCCCCCTCCCCCATGGGACTGTCATTTGAGCCCATTTGCCCAAAGACGAGGCCATAGCCGCCCCTCCCTCCCTCCCAAAGACCCACCAGGAGGTGAGAGTGGTGATGTGGGAGTGGGATCTTGAAGGAAGCATGGGAGTTCCCTAGGGAAAGGGGACGTCTGCAAAGACATGGAGAAATGAGGGGAGGGGAGGTGGCTCCCAGTCAGCAAGTCTAGCTCCATCAGATGCTAAAGAGCCTTGGATGCTAGGCCTCCTGGCTGTTGTCCTCCAGGCAGTGGGGAGCCACCGAAACTTCTTGAGCTGGAAGAGTGACCAGGTGTATGTTTTGAAAGGTTCTCTGGAGGCCCTGCCCAGCAGGTGGGGGGTTGGCTGAGTCCACAGTGATTCAGGCTGTGGAGACAGGATGGAGGGAGATAACAGTGAGGGGACCTGAGAGGAGGTTGGGGGCATTAGGGGACCCAAGTTTCTGGTTCCAGGGGGGCAAGGGGAGGTCAGTCTGTGGGTGGAGCCCAGGCCGTACTTTCTGGTCAGTGGGGTCAAGTCTTATCCTCCTTACGGGGCGGCCGCAGGAAGGGCAGCGGGCAGTAAGCATCAGGTCTGGCCGAGCTGGTCCTGCCCACTCCCAGCCTGGCTCCGAGGTCTAGATCTGGAGCCAAATTACAATGAAAACATCTTCAAACTTATTTCTACCTCATTTTGAAGTTGCCCGCTGAGCTGGTCCTTTTTATAAACCACCGTGAACAGTGGTGACATCTTATGAGGCTTGTACTTGGGAAGCTATAGGGTAAATTTACTCGCAAAGCTGGTAGGAACCCAGGAGCTCTTGCTCCTCTCCAGGGCAACTCTCCCTGCAGGCCCCCCAACCTCGCCCCCATCTACCCGGCCTTGGAAAGTGGGAGAGGATCCCCCTGCTCAGAGAGGCGGCAGAAGCAGCTAGGATCATTTCCTGCCTCTTACCAGAGGAGAGGTGGGGGATGGGGGCCCAGGGGACTTTCAGCCCCTCCATGCAGCACCCGGCCCAGCTGCCTCACACTGCCTACCCTCCTGTCTTTGTTGCCGTGGCTCCTTTTGGCCCTGTCCCTCTGTCCTTCTGTCTCTAGTCTCCTGTCTGTCAGACTCTGTCCATCTGTCCAGTCATGCCTGTTTGTCTGCCATCATCACCCTCTATCCTTCTCCATCTGTCTCTTCGTCTGACTCCGTCATCCATCTTCATCTGCCTGTCCATCGTCTGTCTGTTCATCCCGTCCTTCTATCCATCTGACCCTGAAGTGGATGGGTCTGAGCACTGCGCAGCAGGCAGACTTGGTCCCTGCCCTGTCGGAACCCCTGAGCTGGCCAGGAGGTGGGAAAGGACTGGGCAGTGAGATGGTCGCTGAGGGAACCTTTAAGGCCCCTCTTCCTTCTCCCAGCGCACCCTCCTCCACTCAGCCCCCCAGGGAGCCTCAGAGCCCCCCACAAATTGCAAGTAACAAACAGCAGGTGAGAGGGTGTTTTCATGGCTCAAGAATCTCATGCTGGATGCCCGGGGAGGATTCACCTATTATCAGTCAGTGTGTGCAAAGTTTCTTTGTCGTATAATTTGTTCAGTGAGTGACCAGAACAGATTTCCCAGGGCAGGAACAGGCTATCTTGGGGTGAACTCCCAAGGCAAAGAGCGGGGTGTCCTGGTTCCCACTGGGCATCACCCCCAAGGAGCTGCCCCACCCTTGAGTGCCCGAATGACCTGTGCATGAAAGAGCTGATGGCTGAAGTGGGGGCCTGTTCTCACATGTCAGTCACCTTCTGCAGGAGCCCTGGGGACCTGAGGGCAGCATTGGCCCCGCCTCTAGGCCCCACCCCACCCTGGTGCTGAGACAGCAGCTCATCTCCTACCCCCTGGAGTTGATGAGGATGCGTGAGGGGGTGGATTAGTTTCTAATTAGTCCCCTAAAGTACCTGCTCCCACCCCACCTGCCCTCCTGTCTGCAGGGGGAGGCCACCTCCTCTCCTGAGGGTGGGGTGGGAGGGAGCCCAGCCCTGGCGTCTTTGGTGCTGAAACTGATCTGCTTAGGGGACAGCCCCGGATAAGCCGCTCAGCCACCCAGGCCAGGGCACAGGGCTATTTACTGAGGTTTAGGGTCGGTTCCAGGTCACTCCATGGAGGTCCCCCTGCAGTGGCCCAGCCAGGAGGCTGCTCTGTTACAGGTGGGCCAGGGAGCAAGGGTGCTGGGGGGGAGGGGGCAGTCCCTCCCTGCTTCTCCTCTGTCCTGCCCCGACTGTGTCTGCAAGGTGGCAGGTGACCCTTCATCACTAAGGGAGTGGGGCGCCATCTCTACAAGTCGCACTGGGGTTTCTTCACTCCCTCTTCTCTCTGGGGTTCTGTAATGTAGGATTGAGGAACAGAAGTGAGAGAACAAAAGAGTTACCTACATGCTTACCCTAAGCCCACCCGCCCCCTCCCCAAGGCCTGGCTGAGGTCCTGCTGGGAGCCTTGAGGTGAGCAGGCTCCCACCCTGCCTGTGTCCATGTCTGCAGGTCTGCAGGTCCGCAGGGCTGTGGCTCCCATGAGTGTGCATGTGCCTGTGTGTCATGAATGTTCGTCTCCATTTAGGAGCTGGCCTTTGGTCTGACCCTTGGTTTCCTTATTTGAAGAAATCGGGGGTCCATGGCTGGTTGCAAGTTTTAGTTGAATAGTGTGGGCAGCATTCTCCCTGAAGCAGCCAAGGCTGCACACACGTGACAGTGTGTGCTCGGGCTCCCCGGGGACAGGCATACTGCCTGGTGGGTGCCTGGCTGCCTTCCCAGCAGGGGGTATGGACACAGTCCTGGCCACTGGAGAGAGCATGGCAAGGCTGCGCCAGCCTAGCTCTGCACAGACCCTCCCCGGAGCTACTACGGGGTGTGTGTGCAAGTTCCCCTGCCCAGCAGACACTTGGCAGGTGCTAGCTGTTTGCAGTTGGTCCTGCTACAGGGACGCTCACACACGTGGGGTCACAGGCCACCCCCGGAGGTGTGCAGAAGGCATGGCCGCACTCAGATGCTGTCCCCTGGTGCCGTACACGCCCACACGCAAGCTTGGTCTGGCACCCTGCCTCATGGGTCCCACCTTCCCCATCTTGCCTTGCTGCAGCCAGGAGAGCGACCTTCCCACCCTCCTATCCAGCCTGCATCGCAGCAGCCACCTCGTTATGCCTGAGCATCAGAGCCGCTGTGACTTCCAGAGAAGCAGCGTGGAGATAGGCCTGGGTGGTCCAGGTGAGGAGGCTGGGAGTACCAGGGGCCAGGAGGGGGCTGCCAGGGCCACAGCAGCTTAGCCTGAGGACAGCCCCTTGCCGCTGCCCTCCCAGTGTCTGCTTAGTGGCCTGGATGCCGCCACCCCCAGCAGCCTTGGCAGGCAGCCAGGGAGGCCAGCGGAGGAGGAGGGAGGTGGCCAGGCTGGCTGTCCCCTGGGGCTGCATGTGATGGTAATTGTGTTAATCCCGGCCAGCAGGGAGGGGGCGGGGGGGCGCGGAGGCAGTGGCTCCATGGTGGCGGCTGCTGCGGTGGGCTTGGAGTAGCGAGGCCTCTGTCACCCCTGCTCACAGGGGCAGACGGAGGCAAGGACGGTCAGGGATGTGCGGGCCTCACAGAGGCTCAGAAAGGCACACCTGCAAATGACATGCACTGAGCACCCTCCAGCCCCACAGCTCACGGGGTCCCAGGAGGGAAGGGTCCCTCACTGAGAGCAGGGAGACTAGGTAGGAAGGTGCTGGCCCAGAAGCTCTGGGGTCACCTCGGAGGGGTGGCTCTTGAGGGGCAGCAGCTCAGAGGGAGGGGCTGCAGAGGGTGGGGCAGGGTGAGCTGCAGCTGACAGGGCGGGGCTGTGGGCTGGGCAAGGAGCTGGCAGGGTCCCTGGCTGTCCTAGGAGCCCTGGGCAGGGAATTTTCCAGCAGTGGCTGCAGTTCTCAGGGAGGCTGGGCAGGGGATGCCAGCATCCTGGGCCCCTGAGCGTCCCATTGGTGCCCTCCCTCGGGCTCCCCCCACATGCCTGTGCCTGGGAAGGCCCTGGGGTGGGGGCTGCTTCTGGAGCCGCGCTGGAGGCTGCTGAGCAGGCGGCTGATAAAATCTAATTGCCCCATCGATTGGCAGAGCCTCCGGAGCCCGTGATGATTGAGATATTCTGAGCCAGCGGGCCCTCCCTGGACAGCAGGGCGCCTGCACCACACGTGTGCCCAGCCCCAGCCAGGGGTGCCGGGGCCCTGCGTGCTTGGGTCAGGGTGTCCTCACTCCCACTTTGTGCCGAGGTCACCCCTACTCTGCAGGAAGTGCCACCTGTGCACTGGGCCCAGGTTTCACCACAGTCTTGACCTCTCCTTGGGGCTGTAGCATCCTTTGCCTCCCTGTGTTCCTGTGGCCTTGCCGTGGGGTCACCTGCCTGTCTTCACCTGCTCTTCCCCAGAAGCCGCCTGCTAATCCTGTCCCCACAGCCCCAGCCCCTCCCAGGCACCTGAGTGGGACGGTCAGGAGGACTGTGGGGGATGGCAGGTGGGGGGGGGGAGGCACCTTGTGGTTGGCTGCCTGCTTCTGGATCCAGGCTGTGTCCCTGCGTAAATGTGGCCCTTATCGCGGACTAGTCACCTGACCCCCTGGCAGGACCTTATGCAGCCACCACACGGGGGACCCCTTCCCCCCATAGAAAGGGGTAGGGGTAGGGGGCTCCACTGTGGACAGTGGGAAGCAGGTCACAGGGAGGTGAGAGCCCTGGGTTATGTGCAGGTCGGGGTGTGGACCCAGCCCTGGCATAGTCAGACATGCAGCCCTCCTGCCTGGGACCCTGAGGCCACCGGGCTGTCCACTGGACTTCTCTAGGGGCCTCATGCTGGCTGTGCCCCCATCCTGCCAGGCCCCTGAGATAGGGATGGGCAGGGCCTGGGTTGAGCCACGGGACGGGCCAGTGGCAGCAAGGTGGCCAAGATCAATAAGTTATTAGCACCATTCTGTCAGCTGTAAAGTGGAGATTGATCGCGCCGCACTTCCCGGGCTGATAAAAATGACAGATTAAGGGAATAAGGAAAAGGAATTAGGCTCTGGAGCTGATGGCAGTGCCCCTTTGTCGAGGCGTCCTGGTGGCCCTGGGTCACAGAAGGGGCGGCTCCTGCACCCCACCCCCAGGCCTCCCTGAGCAGGGAGAGTGTGGGGCAGTCCTCACCCCTGTCCTGGGAGTGGCATCAGGAGCCTCTTCTCCCTCTCTGGCAGGGTGCTGAGCAGACCTACACTTGCACTGGACAACCCTCTGGCTGGGTGGGGGCAGCAGGGTGCCTGTGGGGTCCTGAGTTGCCCTGAGGCTGTTACCAGAAATCTGCCATCACATCTACACACACACGCACACACACACACACACCCAGAGCCCAGGGCCAGCACCGTCCTCTTGCTGGAGGCCTGGGACTTGGCTAGGCAGTGCCTTCATGTGGCCAGGACCCACAGACACCCTGAGCAGTGATGGGTGTGGTTCTGGGCTGACCTGGGGCTGGGCAGGGACGGAGGCTGGAGTTAGTGAGCCTGGGTTGTCCCTCTCCCTCCCTGCTTCGCTCAATCTCCATCCCTCCAAACCCTGAGCTACATGGTGGGGCTCACTCTACCCTCCCCCAGGTGACCTGTTGGGCAAGAGGCTAGGCCGCTCCCCCCACATCAGCACTGACTGCCCTTTGGAGAAGAAGGCGCGAAGCAAGTCCCCCCAAGGTGGGAGCCCTCTGTGGGGGGTGGAGGGGGCAGGTCACAGGACGGGGAAGGTATAACAGACCTGAGACCCTCTGCAGGGTGGGGTAAGCCCAAGCTCTCCACCTGGGCGGCACCTGAAGGAGACCCCTCCCTATATGCTCCCCACAAGCAGAGACTCTGTTGCTGTCAGAGCTGGGGCCCAGCATGGCCCCTGAGGATCACTACCGCCGGCTCATGTCCGCACTGAGTGAGGCCAGCACCTTTGAGGACCCGCAGCGTCTCTACCACCTGGGCCTCCCCAGCCATGGTATGTGCCCCTTACCAAGTGTCCACCTACCTGTGCTGGGCTCTCCCTGCCCCTGGAGGCTGATACTCGCCCTGAAAAGAAACCCTGGGGTCTTTGCCGACAACAAGGCTGCGCTGGGTGCAGCGTCAGGCCCTGGACCCCGAGCCCCATAAGCAAGCTCCCTGGAGGTGGGCAGAGGCATGACTCTCCTCCCTCTGCCAGAAGGGCCCCACCCCCACCCTACCCCCCACCTGCATGTCCCCTGCGGCCCCACCCCACTCTCTCTCACCCGCAGGGCCACCCCCCCCACACACATGCAGACACTGTCATTTCACACTGTGAGCCTGAGTGGGGGTGGGGGCCCATGCCCCTGCCATCCATGCAGGCAGTCCTGTCCCTGTCTACACTGCAGGCCTCCCCTCCAGCTGGAGGGTGCCACGGTGGGTGTCAGGGCCTCCTCCAGGGAGCGCTAGGCCTGCCTGGGGGAGGCCCCAGACGGGGAGCAGCAGCCTTAAGAACGTCCCTGGTGGATCCAGGAGAACCTCACTGGTACTCAAAAGCCCGGCTGGAGGCGCCGTCCCTCCCCGTGCCCCACCCTGTGCATGGCCCTGGCCATCTGTCCTTCCCAGCTCTCATGGACGCCTGGGAGTCCCACCCACCATCGCGAGATCACACCCAGCACCCTGCCCAGCTGCACCCTGACCCCAGCCCCCAGTCTGCGGAGCGCGGCTGTTGTGGCTGGAAGGTGGGTGGGGGTGCTGGGAGAGGGGGCAGGACTTCCTCTCCTCACACAGGCACTGTCCCCGAGGGCAGTGAGGCACCGAGAGCCTGAATTATTCACCAAATGTTAATAATTTAAAAATCTTCCTTTTTAATTGCTTTCCCTGCCCTGCCTGGGGCCGGCTCGGCTGGCCTGCGCGGGGGAGGGGGCGCCGGCCGCCGGGGAGCAGCGCCGCGAGCTGGGCTGTCAATCACGGCCCCGCGCCGCCGCCCCCGCTGCGGAGCCGACAGTAAATAACCCGGCCGCCGGCGCGCGGGGGCGCGGAGGCCCCACTGGGATCGATGCAGGCGGCCGCGCCGGCTGGGCTCTGCGGGCTGGCACCCGGCCCGGGCAGGGCCCACCTCCGCTTTTCGGGTAATTAATTTATAAACAGGCGGCGGCGGCGGGAGCCTGCACACACGGGGGGCTGCGGGGGGGGGAGGGGGGACTCGGAGGCCGGGCCCCGAGCAGGCTGGAGGGATGCGGATGGGTAGCCGAGTGCATCAGGCGCAGGGTGGAGTGTGCACAGCGTGTACCTAGGAGGGGGCCGCCTGCGCAGCCTCAGTCTTGCGTTGGAGACCACTCTGCCCTCCGATAGCCAGCCCGCGCCCTCCGCTTCGCGCATTGCACCCCCCCCCCCCCCCCCCCCCGCAAGGCCCCTGCAGCCTTGGTCTCCATGCACTCGGAACTGTCCATATCAACAACACTCGTGCACCCCCACCCTCCCATGCCTGCTGGGTTTTCGCCTCCCTCCTCCCATCCCTCCTACTGCAGTTTGGTTACTAACATCCCCATGTCACTTCCAAATGCTTTCCTGGCCCCCCTCCCAGGACAGGTGGGTGCCTCCCACTCCCACCCCAGCATCCTCTAGGGTTAGGCTGTTGCGCTGTAATGATCTGTCTCCCTTGCCCTACGGCCTTTGTGGGTCAGTGTGAGGACGAGCTCTCACTGGTTCTGGCCTTGGTGTCCTTGGCCGGTGCCCTGTGCTGGCCGCGGGTAGGAGGGTGAGAGCCCAGGGCCCTCTGGGTCACTGCTGTTGTCGCCCCCTCCCCCAGACCTCCTGAGGGTCCGGCAGGAGGTGGCAGCAGCAGCAGCAGCAGCTGTGAGGGGCCCCAGTGGCCTGGAAGTCCACCTGCCCACGTCCACAGGTCAACGTCGGAAGCAGGGCCTGGCTCAGCACCGAGAGGGCAGTGCTCCAGCCGGCACCCCATCCTTCTCAGAGAGGTACTGGGTGTCTGCATCTCAGAGACCCCCATATTCACTGTGCTTGTTGCTGGGGTGGAGACTTATCACCTGGTTTCTGCAGGTCAGGGCAGCAGCCTGCACCTTCCTACTTGTCAGCCACCTTGACTCTCTCGTCCCAGCCGCTTGGCCCTGTGGGGACTGAATGTGCCAGGCACGGGGCTAGCCCTGGGTTCATGGCTTATCGTGCAGAAGGGACCTGATGCCCTCCTGAGCTGGGCAGAGGCCCGAAGAAAAATATTCCTGGGGTAGAATGCGTGGGGGTGACCCGCCCTCTGGTTGGCGTACTAAGGGCGATTCCCTTTCCATTGAACAACTATGGGACCTGCTGAATCCAGGCGCCCCTGAGACAGCTGAGGGCCTGGCTCCCCCAACAGGTAGGTGAGGGCGCCAAGACTCCATGGGGAGGCCGTGGAGAGGGGGCAGAAGGCAGAACCCGGAAGTCGGAGGCCACTGCCTCCAGCAGCACCGAGTCAGACTCGCGCTTTGGCGCCACAGATGCTCGTCGCGGCCCCGAGACCCCAGGAAGGGAGGGGAATGGTGGACCTCAAGAGGGGCGAGCGAGTGATGGGGCGGGCAGAGCTGCAGCGACCTCTGCCTCTGCTGCCCGCTCCCCGCGACCCCCGCCCAGAGCGCCGTCTACAGCCGCCTCCCGAGTCGCGGCTAATTGTGCTCCGCCCCCGGCCGCGCAGGGTCCGAGGACGGGGAGGCCAGGGCCCGGCGCGCCCGCGGTAATTGCCGCTGCAGTCGCCGCCGCCGAGATTAATTGGCGCCGCCAGCGGGGGCCGGGCGGGGGCGGCGCGCGACCCGAGGCCGAAAGGATTGGTGCTCCGACCGCCAGCGGGGCCGCAATTAGCAGCGCGGCCGGCGGCGGCGGGGCGGGGGCGGGGGCGGGCCGTTCCGGGAATGGAAGGGGCGCACGGCGTTCACCGCCCTGCCGTCCACAGGGAGCTGTCCCAGCCGGCCCCCCTGCTGTCGCCCCAGAATGCTCCGCACATCGCTCTGGGCCCCCACCTCAGGCCTCCCTTTTTGGGGGTGCCCTCGGCTCTGTGCCAGACCCCAGGTGAGGAGTAGGCGGGGGTTCGAGGCTTGTGTCCTGGGGGACCTGTGCGTTCGGGGCCACCCGGGTTTGCCTGTGCCCCACCAGCGTCCGCGAGTGTTCCTCTAGGACCCAACCCAGCCAGGGACAGACGGGGGCGGGGGTAGGCGGTTGGGGGGCACTGGACCACTCGCTTCGTGCTGTCCCCTTCCCCAGGCTTCGGCTTCCTGCCCCCGGCCCAGGCGGAGCTGCTCGCCCGGCAGCAGGAGCTCCTGCGGAAGCAGAACCTGGCGCGGTAGGTGGCGGGGCCGGCAGGGCAGAAGGTGGCCCCCGTCTCGCTGGATCCTGACCCCGGCCCCCTGCACCCCCTGACCCAGGTTGGAGATGTCGGCCGAGCTGCTGCGGCAGAAGGAGCTGGAGGGCGCGCACCGTCCGCAGCTGCTGACGCCAGAAGCTCCGCTGCCCCCACCGGATGGCGCGGACGCCCTGCTGGTGCGGAGACCCAGCTCCGCGCCCAGGCTGGCGCTGCCCCCACAGGGACCCTCCGGCTCCCCCACCCGCCGAACCCCTCGGAAGGGGAGCCTCAGCCCGGCCTCAGCCCGGCCCAGTGAGCCCAAGACCACCGGGGCTGAGCTCTGGGTACAGGATGGCTCTGAGGATGAGCCCCCCAAGGACTCAGACGGAGAGGACCCCGAGATGCTGGCTGTTGGGGGCCGGGGCCTCACCCCAGGTGGAGGGGCCAGCTCTGAGCGGAAGGGACTTCTCTCAGGGTCCCTGCCCCCCTCTCTGCCCTTGAGCGTGCCCTGCGTCAGCCCCTACTTCCACACAGGTGGGCACTCCAATGCTCTAGATCCCTCAACAGGGTGGGGTGGGAGGAGACCCATCCCCCACTTCTCCTTAGGAAGTCCAAGGGGAGAAAAGGCCCTTTTAGTCATGGATCTGGACGAGGGCAGAGGTCAGCAGATGGGTGGGAACCTGGGAAAGAGGCAGCCACAGTCCTAGTAACACCCCCTCCCAACCAGGTGCCATGGGGGGACTCTTCAGTGATGGGGAGGCCACCGTCCCCGAGGACATCAGCAAGTGGACAGTGGACGATGTCTGCAGCTTCGTGGGGGGCCTGTCGGGCTGTGGAGAATACACACGGGTAAGGGGGCACCTGCCCAAGATGGTCCTGAGCTCCTGTTCCCCAGTGCCTCTCCTCACCCCCCTTCTCCTCCTCAAAGGGTGTGGGGGCACTGCATGCTCCCGTCCCAACCTGCAGTGCTGTGCCCTCCACACAGGCACGTGTCCAAATTTTCTTTCACATGAATATTTTCCCTACAAACTGCACCAACAGCTCCTCTTGGCTCCGCTTTCCAAAGCCTTGAGCCCTCCACCCCTCCACCCGGACCTGGCAGCCTTGGCCTGGCTGAGGGACCCTGAAGGGTGAGCAGGCAGTTCCCACACTCAGGCCCTGACAAGCTCCCACCCCACCAGGTCTTCAGAGAACAGGGGATAGATGGGGAGACCCTGCCCCTGCTGACGGAGGAGCACCTCCTGACCACCATGGGGCTAAAGCTGGGGCCTGCTCTCAAGATCCGGGCGCAGGTGCGTGCCAGGGGGGCGGAGGTCCCCCGTCCTGGAGGGACAGCACCGAGGCTGCAGACCCCCAACCCAGGCTCTCTCCACAGGTGGCCAAGCGCCTGGGCCGAGTCTTCTACGTGGCCAGCTTTCCGGTGGCATTGCCACTACAGCCACCAGCACTGCGGGCCCCCGAGCGGGCACTCACCTCAGGGGAGCAGCCCCCATCCCCAGCAACGGCCCCCTCACCCTTTGTGGGGGGACATCCCACTGCTGGCCAAGCCTCACCCAAGCAAGAGAACGGGACCATGGCTCTGCTCCCAGGGCCTTCAGACCCCTCCCAGCCTCTGTGCTGAGTTGTGGAGCCCACCCTTTAGTGCCAGTCACTGCGATGCAAAGGCCCCTCCCCACAGCTGCTTTTCCTCCGGTTTTGGGAGCAAAAACACAAAGAACTTTTAAAAAGAAAACATGTGACAAGAAGAAAGGAATGTGTTTTAAAAAACTTGTGGGGGTGACGCAGAGCCTGGCGCACACGCCTGGGATCCAGCCCGGTGCTGCAGACAAACCAAAGACAAGCGGTTCACGGGCCAGGCCGGCCCCTGGCTCCCTTGGGAACGGACTGCAGTGAGATTTCAGCGTCCTGACATCAGGTGAGAGCGCAGCTTCCCTCATGGGTACCCAGCACCCTTGGGTGCAGCAGTGGGCTGGCTCCATAATGCAGGCAGGTGTCAGTCACCAAGGCTGCCACTCCAGTGATCAGCACAGTGCTTGGTACTTCCTGGTCTTTTATGTTGTAAAAATAAAGCCCTGTCCGCCATCTACTGTCCTTCCTGGGGTATGGGCACTGACCCCAAGGCTGAACTGCTGGTGAGATGGGGCACTGCAGGCAGACCAGGATGGTGGCCCTCAGTCCTCCTCAGAGAGTTGTAGGTCCTCCAGTTCATCCTCCGGCCCCTGGGCAAGCAGTCGCCACAGCTCCCGGGGGGCCAGCCCTGACTCTGCATCTGAGCCTCCGTCTGCAGGGAGACACCGAGGCTACATAAATTCTGCTTTATCAGAAGGAAGCCAGCCTGGGGGTTACTCATCACTAATTAATCACAGCACTAATTAATTTATCAGTGCCGCTGCTGCTGGCTGCCAGAGCTAGCAGGAACAGAGCAGCTGGCCCTACATCCCCAGGGAGGAGCCTTGGGCACGAGCTCAAAGGGCACAGCACCCTGACCCCAGGAACCACTCACCGTCTGAGTTGCTAACTTCTTGGCCACTACTGCTGCCGTCCTTGTCTTCACCCTCGTCGTCATCCTGGTCGTCGTCCTCTGCCCCCTGCTGAGCTCCAGGAGACCTAGATGTAACTGGGGGCCAAGGCAAAGAGCCCATGGGAGGGGCCCACTAGCAGATGCACAAGGGGTGAGTAGCTAGGCTCACAGCCCTGCACCAACCCTCCCCTTGGGCAAGTGGAAAAGATTCAGAACTGCCCTGGAGAGTAGTGGGGAGAGGGACAAGGCCTAGGGACACATGTTCCAATTCCAGGAGGCCCACCTCAAACCAAAGAAAGCAAAGTGGTGGGGAAGGGCAGAGTGGCCCCCACAAACAGGAGCTGAGGTGGGAGTAGGCACCCCTCCACCAGGTCTGGTTGCCCAACCCCTGGGAGTTCAAGCCGAGCCACACAGGCCCACCTCTCTCTGAGAAGTCTGCAGCATCATCATCATCACTGTCCAGGTCGAAGAGGTCCTTGAATTCCACCCTGTCCTCATCCTTTCTGTCCCCCAGCTTCCGCCGCTTTATCTCGGGGAAGTTCAGGTCTTCCAGCTGAGAGGCCCAAAATGAGCAGCAGGTGAGGGTGTGCAGGGAGCCCTGGGTGCCAGCCCGGCCACACAGCCACAGCCGTGCCACCAGCAAGAACCCTCATTCCTAGACAGGCTCCACCTAGACCCAGTGCCTGTTTTTCTTTCCCCCCACACACCTGCTGGGCCACTTCTCCCGAAGCCTAGTGAGCATCTCTGGGAAGGATTCCTGGACAGCCACCCGCCAGGCGGAGGAGGCCCCAGCCATCCACTGGCCTTTGAGTGTCATCCAGGTTACAGTCACATCCTTCAGGGCAGCCCCAGCCCTGCCACCCTTGCAGACATTGTCCCCAACAGGCCCCACCCCCATCCCGTCTTAAAGTCATAGGCAGGGTGCTAGGTCCTCGTCTCTGAACAATCCAGCCAGGCGTGCCCAGGCTCCGACAGCCTCCCAGCCCGTACCCGCTCTTTGCCACTGATTTCCAGCTGGATCTCCCGGTCCCTCAGTTTCCGCCACTGGCTGTAGTACTTGGTGAGCGGAGTCCCCTCTTCTCGGGTCTGCTTCTCCCAGTCATCCTGTGGGGAAAGGTTGGGGTCACGTCCCATCCTGGGCAAAACCCCAAGCCCCAGCCACACACGGGTGCCCTCCCCACTGACCACGGCCTGCCGGTTGGCCACACCAAAGGAGGCCCTCTGGCGGAGGCTGCAGATGTGGTCTGCGTTCTCCTGCACCTTCTCCAGCAGCTGGCGCACCTGCCGGCAGTAGTTGGCTACCTTGCACTCTCGGAGGAAGGACTTCAGCTGCAGAAGGAAGAGGGGCTCAGCCAGCTCCACACAGGGCTGCTCTGCATGCAACCAAGGGCCCACTCCCTACATGTGCCCAGAGAGGTAGAGGGGTGGAGGCATGGAGCTCTGGGGCAAATGCCTGTGGGGGCAGAACCACATGAGAACCAGGGCCTGGTCCCTTCATTTACACACTTGTGGGTTTTTTACTTCGAAGGAGAAGCAAGCAGTTGTGGAAACCACAGGACTGCAAAGCCTAAGATACCACCTGGCTCTTTACCCAGAAGTATGTGCTGATCTCTGGGGCTTCAAGTCCAGAAACAGAGCCTTGCCCACCCGAACCCGGCTCTTTACCCAGAAGTATGTGCTGATCTCTGGGGCTTCAAGTCCAGAAACAGAGCCTTGCCCACCCGAACCCAAATCCCGATGGGCTCTGAGCCAGTGCACTGGGTGGAGGCACCCCCACCCCAGGGCCATGCAGACAGGCAGCACCACTCCCAGGAGGCACAGGCCTCCCTGAAACAGGACATCTCGGCTGAAAACAAAGGACTCCCATGAGAGCCAGCAGGGGCTTCCGGGAGGGAGGGTGCCCCCGCCCCCCCACCCAGCCCCCTCTCTCCTGAAGGAAGCTGAGGGAGCCCTACCTCCGCACCACACTCAGGACCACAGGGGAGGCAGGCAGTCAGGAGACCAGCCCACTCAGTCCCAACTCCCCCAGGACGGACTCAGGGCCCAGGGTCCCACCACTGGCTCTGTGGCTGAGACAGGCTGCCATCTTCTGCCCTGGTGTCAACAGGGCTGAGGCGATTAAACAGTCTCGTCAGCCTCACAGGAGGTCACAGGGGTCTGGGCAGGGCAGGGCAGGGGAGCCGGGCAGCGGGCACTCACCTGCAGGATGGCGGGCAGCGCCAGCTCCGGGAAGGCGATGCTATGGGCCTGGCTGTGCAGGTACTCGAGGGTGAGGTCGTACAGCTGCTCCACCAGCCCGTCCTGAGGAGCAGCGGGAGGAGAGCTCAGGCACCTCCCTCAGGCTGAACGCCAGCCCCTCTCCAGGCAGGAGGAGGTGGGGACCCACAGCTTCACTCAGGCTCATGGGGCTGGGCCCACGGGTGTCTGCTCCCCGACCCTGGGGGCCGACAGGAGTCCATGCAGAAACTCCACAGGGCAGCCAGCCCCTCCTGTTCACACGCCTCCTGCCTCCATGGTCACTCAGGATGCTGACCGCCGTGTCCTCTGACATCCGGGGGGGCCCCCACCCGGGCACTCCCTCCCTAGCCCCTCCCTGGAGGCCAGCCTCACCCGGTAAGCCTTCTCCTGCAGGTTGACCTTAGACAGCTTCAGGATCACAGCGAAGTTGATGGGCTTGGAACTCATCCGTCCCGGCTTCCTGTTGAAGTCAACCTGCTGGAAAACCTGCAGGACCGACAGCCTCATCAGACTGCAGTGCTCACACCCCACTGCACCCCCGCCCCCCGGGTCCCTGAAGACGCATTGTGAGAGTAGGGACAAGTGGCCAGAGGCAGTGCCAGCCCTGCAGCCCACAGACCCCCTGGCAGAGACTGTTTGCCTTCCAGAGCTCTGGTGGCCCCCAAGGGAGCCCCGCCACCCAGAGCGGGACTCTGGCCAACGGGCGTGCCCAGGCCCCGCGTCCGGAGACGAGTCCTTCAGTCCAGGACCACAGCGGCCTCACCCACAATCATGTCCCCAAGGGCTGCATCCCCAGGAGCAGCACACCGAGGGGCATGAGGTCTCAGACGGGAGCAGGCTGCCCTGTGCGGGCCCTGCCCCGGGGAGAAGCCCTCCCGGTCAGGAGGCTAAGGCTGCCCAGGAACAGAGTGAGTGCCTGGCCTCTCAGCGTGATGTGTGGACAACGAAGTGGTCCCCGGGAGGGCAGGGTGCTTGCCCCAGCCTGGCTCAGCCTGGGGCTCCCCGGAAGCAGAGAGCTCGGCTCCCGCCTCTGTGGTCCGCTTTCTCTGGAGAGGAGAGGCCTGCACCCATGGGTGAGGGAGTGCGGGACGGAGCTATGGCGAGCCCAGACGGGGTCAGTGCAAAAGTGAAGGAGGCAAGAGATCAGCTGAGGGAGATGGTAGGCAGAGGACAGACAGGTGCCCTGAGCTGGCCAGCAGTGGGAGCTTCACCCTGGACACCAGGGCTGTTTTTGGAGGGGGGGGGGGTGTCGGGAGAGATGCTTATAGAATGAGCATGAATCTTGCACTGTCCCTGCCTCAGGGCATTGAGTGAGGAGGTTCCTGAGGTCCCCTCCCTCCCCCTCCTGCTCCAGGGCAACCACAAACCTGCCCTCTGTCTTCCTGAGGCACAGCTTCTGAGCTGTCTGGTGGGTGATGGGTGTGAACTTCTGAGTATTTCCTGGGTTGGGGCCTGACCACCAGTGGATTTCTGGGCTTTGGACCACAGCCTTTCCCCACTGAGCTTCCGTGAGCACGCACACACAGACGCACACACAGACGCACACGCTCGTGCACAGACGCACACACAGACGCACACGCTCGTGCACACACAGACACACACGCTCGTGCACAGACGCACACACAGACGCACACGCTCGTGCACAGACGCACACACAGACGCACACGCTCGTGCACAGACGCACACACAGACGCACACGCTCGTGCACAGACGCACACACAGACGCACACGCTCGTGCACAGACGCACACACAGACGCACACGCTCGAGCACAGACGCACACACAGACGCACACGCTCGTGCACACACAGACGCACACACAGACGCACACGCTCGTGCACACACAGACGCACACACAGACACACACGCTCGTGCACACGCTTGTGCACACACTCAGGGACGTGCAGAGGGCAGACGCAGCCTTGGGATCAGACCTGGGTGTCCAGCCTGGATCTCCCGCTCATGCTCATCTCGGGCAAATGCCCGGATCGACCCAGGTCTGTGCCCTAAAACCGGCAACCTCAGGCCCACCCCACGAGGCAGCTTCCTTGTCCTCACTGCTGCTCTTGCCAACTAACACATGCCACCAGCCTGGGCAGGACCAGGGATGCCCTTGCAGCACCTGTGCTCTGCAGTGAGGGCCCCGCCCGCTCACCTCCCTACTCACCTCGAGGATGAAGGGCAGCACGGGGATGAAGGTGCCGGTGCCCTCGGAGAGCAGCGTCAGGATGCGCACGCAGTGCATGCGCAGCGGGTAGAAGCGTGCGGTCGGAACCAGCCTAGGAGCAGGAGGATGGGAGTGAGACGAGGCCCAGCCCCGGGGATCCCACAAGCCCGCCCCACCCTCTGGCACTGCCCCGACCCTTCCCATAGTGCCCCCACCGCAGCAAGGACCTATCACCCTCTCAGGGTCACTGGCCACACCTGCCCCACCGGATCCCTGACAGAACAGGGCAGGACACAGGCCCTCAGGACTTGCCTCCTTGCTCAGCTATGGGGCTGAGGGGACACCCAACCAGGTTTAACTTTGTTTCATTTTAATGTGTTTGTAGGGATCATTCGTTCAAGCCTTTCATCCCAGCTTTCAACTCTCCTTCAGGAGGACAGGGCTGCCCCCTCCTGGCCAACAGCCACCAGGCCACGCACAGCTCCTCCATTCGCTGCTGAGACCCACGCCCAATATTCACACCCAGGATTGCACACACCAGACCCCACTTGCTCTGTCCAAGAACCCCGTGCAAATAAACCCAATCCCCTTCAAACTGCACGTGGCCCTCTCCCAGAATGCACACTGCTGCATCCTCGGACAGATGCTAGGGAGGCACTCACGGCACAAGCCACCCAGAAGCCCAGCTGCCCGAGCCTGGGGGGTCCTCCCACACAGGGTACAGGCCGCAGACACCTCTAGCCCAGCCCCTCCACGGGTGTCGCCGAGTCACAGACCGCAGACCCTCCCTAGAGGCCTGGCCACCTGGAAGAGGACCCTTGCAGGAAGCCTCTGTGTGCTGCCCCTGCCCCGCCCCCTAGGCCTCGGGGTCCCCGCACACTCGGACTCACTTGATGCAGCCGAGCACGACCTGGGCGAGGGGGTAGATCAAGGGCTGGAGGGTGTCGCTGGGGCAGATGGTGCTGAGGACGCGGCACCACAGCTGCAGGCAGTGCATGAACTGCCAATTGTACACGGACTGGTGTGTCTCCTGCAGGGAGCCCCCAAGTCAACAGGGTCCCCAGGGCCCAGCCCCTCCTCCGCACCTTGCATACAGGCCCCCGCAAGCTGTGCCCCTCCCAACCCCACAACAAGGACCCGGCCACACACCTTCTTGCGCATGGTCATGGCGTTGCGCAGGTGGATGGCGAGCTGGCGGATGTACAGGAAGGCATGCTGGTAGGCGACGCTGGTGTCCAGCGCCAGCAGCTCGGTCAGCGTCCGCTGCATGAAGCTGATGAGGGGCAGGGTGCTGGGGGAGGTGAACTTGCAGTTCCTCACGTACGTGATGTACATTTGCTGCCAGAAGACCAGTCACAGCTGCCTGAGCTCCCAGGCCCCGAGGCCTCACCATGACACCTGGGTCTGACCCTCAGAGCTACTGCCTCTCAGAAGCACAGCCTGGCTGTGTCTGCTGCAGACCCTCCCCTGGGGCCCCTGCTGCTGCTCAGCTCCCACAGGGGCGCACCCATAACCTGGGGCCCAGAGCCTGCAGTCAGAGGGCAGGCCCAGTACCAAGGGAGGGTGAGCTCCAGCAGGAACAAGTTTGGGGGCCAGCAAAGGGACCATGAGGGCCTGCGAGGGAGGAGCCCTGCTGCCAGGCCGATGCAGGGGGATCTGGAAGGTCCCATGCGAGGCAGGCCACTCTTGGTCTGGAGTCAGGCACCAGGGTCCCTGCCCCTCTCCACACCCGATGTCCTTGTGCACTGAGGGGAGAGCTGCGTACTGCAGTCCACAGAAGAGTGGGAGGAGGCAGGGATGCCATCATTGTCACCACCCCTTCTCAGGGAGGAAAGATGACAAGGACCTGGATCTGCCTTGAGCCAGTCCATGAGAGGTGCTGACCACGAAGGCAGCCTGCCAGCCCCCAGGCTCAGCTCTCAACCCTGACCCGATGGACACAGATGGGGCAGCAGGGGCGGGAGCCGCTGGCCACACTACCTTCAGGACGGGGCTCAGGAAGGTGTCTTTCTTGTGCCGGCAGACTCTGATGAGGACCAGGAAGGCCAACACTCGGACTGTCTCCTCGCCCGTGCTCCACAGGACCACCATCCTCTGCAACGAGCAAGACGTCACAGCCGGCCCCGGCCTCCCCAAGTCCAGCCAGAGGCATCCGTGGACATGGCTGAGAAGCAGCCCCAGCTTAGAACCTGTTCCCACGTGCCCAGCTGTGTTGCCCGAGGCAGACCCGTGTGGGGGGCATGCTTGAGGGTAGCCACATGCACTCGAGCACGCCAGTGGGGAATGCCCACCTTGAGCAGCATGCGGCACTGCTTGGGGAAGGTCAAGAAGTAGGGCACGGAGCTGCTGATGTGCTGCAGGAGGGCCGCTGCCACCGTCGCCTCTGCCACGCAGGCCACTAGCTGAGGGAGCAGGAGGTCAGCACCGCCAAACCCACCACATGGAGACACAGGGAAGGACCAGACCACTGCCCATGGCCAGGCCCTGGTGGCCAGCAGCCCGCCACCCGCCCATGCCCGCGGACATCACACCTGCATGACTGAGCTCAGGTAAGCCTTGACGTCCAGCCGGAGCTTCCCCCACAGCGGGCTACTGGATGGCTGCAGCACCCTGCAGAGACCACCACACCCCAGAGTGAGTCCCAAACCTTAGACACCCCCCAGCTTACACGTTCTGTCCACGCACAAGACACAGGGCACGGGCCTGTGGGGAGACCCTCTCAAGAGTGGCCATGACCAATGCCTGAGGGACAGACTGCCACTCCCCAGGGTTCCCAGAGGCACACACCTGTGACAGGCAGGGAGGGCCGCGGGGTCTAACCCAGGCGCTAACCACCACCACTGCAACCAGGTATTCTGTGGCCCAAACAAGCTTTAAAAAAAGCAGTCGCCCTGGCGGTCTACTCAGTGGATAGAGTATCGGTCTGCGGACTTAAGCGTCCTGGGTTCCATTCCTCTAGTCAAGGGCATGTACCTCAGTTGCAGGCTCAATCCTCTGCCCCGGTCGGGGTGCAGGGTGCCTGCGGGAAGCAACCAATCAATGTGTCTGTCTCACATCAATGTTTCTCTCTGTCTCTCCCCCTCTCTTCCACTCTCTAAAAACCAATGGAAAAATGCCCTCTGGTGAGGATTAGTAACAACAAACCCCCGAAGTGGCCCAGCCGGTGTGGCTCAGTGGGCGGAATGTCAGCCCATGGACCAGAGCTGAGCTGTGGGCTCCATCCCCAGCAGGTACGTGTGGGAGGCAGCTGATGGCCGAGTCTCTGTCATCAACGTTTCTCTCTCTCTCTCCATCTAAAAATCAATAAAAAGATGTTTAAAAACCACCCGCCGAAGTACATGAAGGGGCAAAGGCCAGGGGCACCACGGCAGCTCGCTCTGCCAGGAGGCAGTGCTCTCCACTTCCTCCAGCGAGGGCAGTGCAGCGGCCTCCTTCCCGGGAGGGCACCGCCAATGCAGCACCTGCTGCCCGCACACTCACTGCTGCCCCCTTCCGCCCTGCCCGGGTCAGACAGGGCGCCTCCACTCGGCCCAACCCTCCTCAACCCATCAGTCCAGCCTGATCACCACCACCAGGCCCAGGCGATGACAGAGGGCCTCTCTGGACACTTCCTTCTTCCTTCGAAATGGCTGTGTGGCCCGCCCTGCCCCAAGGAACCCGTTCTACCCATCTGCTGCCCTCCTCCCTCCTCTGAATACAGCTCCTCTGCTCGATCTACCTAACGCGGAAGGAAAGGTTCTCAAACCCAGCATCGGCCAGGCACCCCCAGGAGACACACCCAGCAACCGCAGGGCAAAGGGCAAGGAGAGAGTGAACAAGACTGTTCATCCAAAGAGGAAACAGAGAAGAACAGAGGAAGAGAAGGAGGGAAGGAGGGAGGGGGGAGGGGGGGGGGGGGGAGGGGGGGGGGGGGGGAGAGAGAGAAAGAATTCTGACTGGGGAAAACGGGGAACAAAAGGAAGCAGCTCGTGGTCCCTGAGAAATTCTGGGCAGAGAATTTCCCTTCTCAGGAAGAAAAAAGGATGGGGCCACTCCAGCGGGCCCTGGGAGCTGAGCCTCTCCCCACAGCCCAGAGAGAGCCTGCTGTCCCCAACATCCCTCTGTGCCAGCTGGGCCCAGAGGGACCTGCCAGGTCCCAGACCTCTGCTTTCCCCACTGCAGGGCCCTGAGCACCCCCACACCCCTCCCTCACCTGCTGCTGTCCTTTGGGGCTTTTCCAAATAGCAGCTTCTGGAGGCAGCCAAGGAGATCTCTGATGCAGAAGGTGACCAGAGCGTTGAACACTGCAACGAGGGGGCCACAGATGCCACTCACAGGACAGCAGATGGACCCGAGAGCCTGTATCCCAGGTCCCCTGGCCCCAGCTCACCAGCACTGTCTGTGACCTGGAATTTAATGGCCTCAGCACCCGCTGGGTCTCCTTGGGTGGTAGCCACAGCTGCTCGGAACGCCTGCACCACTTCGTGGAACAGCCTGGGAGTCAGGTGCTGCTGAAGGGGCAACAGAACCCAGGATGCTGAGGGAGCCGTCAGCCGTGCCGGACAGAGGGGGAGGCAGCCAGCGGCGCCCAGAGCTGCCCTAGGAGAGACGGCACCCCGCGCCCGCATTCTCACACAAGGCAAGAGGGGGGGACAGTGTTCCATGTGCCAGGAATAAAGAGAGAGCCCAGAATCCTCCTGGGCGGCCGGGAGCCGAGCTCAGGGACCACGGGGGAGGGGCTGAGGGTCCCCGATCCGGACAATGGCCAGCTGCGCACAGCTTCTGGACTGCTCCCTTGCCGTCCCTTCCTTTCCCTGTAAACCTCGGCCAGACCCGCGGAAGAAGGGGCCTGGCTTAACCCGCTAGCAAAGGCACAGAGACCATATCCTGCCCCCAAGAGGCCTGAGGGAGCAAGGAGCCCAAGGGAGAAACAGCAAAGGGGCAGGCAGAGCCCTGAGCCTGGGAAGAGCTGTGCGCGGTAGCTGGCTGCGAGGAGAAGGGGACCCCCCATCTGCACGGTCCCAGGTAACCCAACCGAGTCAGGGCCGGCTCCCGACGGGGGATGGGCCCAGCCATTTCTCACTTTCGCTGCCTGCTTCCACCTCTCGACCATGGCCAGGGTCACCGGGGTAGCATCCCTCTTCTTCCCCTCCGGCGCTCTGGAGGCCCCATCCTCGTCCTCCTCACCGTCCTCTTCACTGGCTTCCTGCACCAGACACAGGGGGCCAGGCTCGAGCAGGGCGCGGAGGCCAGGAGCGGCCCGGCCCCACCCAGCTCCGCGCGGCCCTCGCCTCCAGCGCGCCCGGCAGGGGGTGCAGCTGCTCCGCGCCGGCCTCCGAGCCGTCCGAGTCGCTGAAGTTCAGCAGGCTCTGGTCGTTCTCCTGCAGGAACCTGTAGAACTCGGGGTCTTTGTCCTTCAGCCGAGAAAGCTGGTCCTTGTGCTCGGATGCCCGGCCCTTACGGCGGCTGGGGGGGGGGGGGGGGTCAGTCATCAGTCAGATGGGTGGGCAGAGCCAGCAGGTGGGGGTGAGGCTTCCTGGCCTCCCCTGCGAAGATGGGGGCTAACCTGCTCCCTCACAACAGCCGCCGACAGCGAGGCGGGGATCTCGGGGGTAGGCTTTCAGATCGCCCTGGGCCCACGGTCCACGCTCACACGTCCCTCCCTCTACGTCTCAGCAGGTGCATTTCAACCCCCCAGCACAGCACTGAGCCCGGGGTCCCCCAAACTTGCTCTGCCCACCCCTGCTTCACCTCCGTGGTCGGCAACTCGGCCTTTCCAGGCGCTGGGTGGAAGGTCGCCCTGCCCGGCGCTCGGGTCCAGCACGCACCGTCCGGAGATCCCGCCAGCAACGCCTCCGAAACCCCTCCCGCCTCCGCTCGGACCAGACCATCCCTCAGGCCCGTCAGGGTCCCTCCCGGGCCCATCCTGCGCCCACAGCAGCACCGTGCCTCGCGGTGCCACCGTCACGTGCCATTCCTTCGCTCGCAGCGCCACCCCCTGCGACGGCCCAGCTCCTGACGAGGGGCCCCTCCGTCACCTCTCAGGTCCACTCACCTCCGCGGGAGGCCCCGCCCAGCTCGGACCGGCTTCCTGCCGCCTGCCCACCGGGACGGGCTCCCTCCTGCGGCGCCGCCTGCCCCTGGGTCTCTGGCTGATGGCCACCTCTTCCCACGACCTTCTCACGCCGCTCGGCCCAAGACGCCCGCCCGCCCGCTCCCGCTTTTCCTCTCCGTCTCACCCGGCGCTTCCTGCTCACCCAGCCCGAGGGGCGTCCCGGGCCGGCCCACGCCCGCCCCAACCCGGCTAGTCAGCGGGCGGCCGCTCGGTCAGCACCCGGGGAAAGGACCAATCAGCCCGAGGGTGCGGGGCGGGGGCCGTCGGCGCCCAGGTCTCCATGCTGAGCCCCCGGGAATAGTCCGCACCCCGCGGTGGGCGCGCCGGGACGACGAAGGGATGCTGCCCACCCGCCCGGGGACACGCCCCGCTCACCCGGCCGAGGGGCCCCCGCCTGGCCCATCCGGGTTCCGGGAGGCTCCGCGCGCCGCCCGCGCCTGGGCTTCCTCGGCTCCTTCAGGCTCCGACTCGGACTCGGAATCAAAGCCCGAGGCCAGGAACTCATCCACCGTCAGCTCCGCCAGGCGCCTGCGGGCCCCGACACCGGAGTCACGACCGCCCGCCAGCCCGGCGCCCGCCCCGCTGCCCGGACACGTAGGGGCGCCGCGGGGAAGCCTCGTCGGTCCCCAGACCCTCAACTCACCGCTTGCGGCCCCGCACCCCCGCCATGCCCACCGGCTGCCACGTGAGCCCCGTTTCCGGCCCCAGAATGCCGCGCGAGCTTCACTTCCTCCGCAGGCCCCACCCCTGGCCCCGCCCCGCACGCTGGCTCTGCGGTTCTCCAGCCGCGGTTCCGGCGGCCTGCGAGCGGGAGGGCGGGCGCCGACTCCAGGGAGGCGCGAGGGAGGCGGCTCCGGCGCAGGCCCGGTTCGGGCACGGCTCCCGCGCGCCTCCGCTCGGGCACGGCGTGGGACGTGCCGCTCACGCGCTGTGTCTGTCTCCTGAGAGGCCGTGAGAACCTACCGACCTGGCGGGACCCCGGGCGCCCTCGCCCAGCCGGGTCACAGCCCCCAGGGCCCTGTAAACACGTGCCTGTGCGGATGTCCATGCCTCTGGCCACGGGCAGAATGCACCACCGAGGACCCCTGTAGAGAGCGCCCTTACACGTCAGCAATAAAAACCCACGCTCTGGTAGGAAAACAGAGCAAAATAGAAACGGTGATGCTCAGATGGGCAGTTCGCCAGAAGATGCAGGACACCCTGGTGGCCAGGCTGGCCTCGCCCGACCAAGGAGGGTCGGAGCCCGGAGAGCAGTGTCCGCCTCACGGGACGGTCCGGAGTCCCCGTGGTGGGGAAGGGGGCGGGTGGGAGGCGCTCTTATTCGAGGGAGTTGCCCAGATCTACCCGAAAGGCCTGTGCCTGGTCCTTCAGTGAGCGACTCCCCCTCTGCTGGGAATTCACCCGTGAGCGCCTCTGCCTGAGGCCGCAGCCCCGGGTCGGCAGGGACTGTTCCCTGATGTGCGAACAGCAGGTGCAAAGGCCCAGAGGCCGGAAGGTTGCCGTAAGGCCTGTGCCCTCCTTCCCGCCAGACCCCACAGTAGATCCCACAGCCCCCGGGGCGCGGGGAGGCTCTGGTCAGACCCCTCGACCTCGCGCCCTGCTCCCCCCACCCGGACCCCCGCAGCCCGCGCCCAGCTGGAGGTCTGGGGCTTGTAGGGGTGGGTGGGGGGCTCCTTGGAGGGGTTAGCGGGGGCTGCAGGCCGGGAAGCTTCTGGGATAGAAGCGGCAGGCGGGGCCGGGGCGGGGGGCGTCCTGGAGGAGCGGGCGGGCGTGGCGCCGGGACGTGGAGAGGATTCGCGTCCCACGTTGCGCGCCCGCCGCTGCGGGAGCGCGGGAGGCGGGGCGGGCGGCGCCGAGAAACGACGGCTGCGGGCAGCGGCGGGAGCCAGGGACGCCGAGCGGCCGCCACCGCCGCGCAGCCCTCCAGCGGTCCCGGCCATTCGTCTGGGCTCCTCCGCGGATCGCGGGTCCGGTGGCCGAGCCCATGCAGCCGCGCAGCGAGCGCCCGGCCGGCCGGACGCAAAGCCCGGAGCACGGCAGCCCGGGGCCCGCGCCCGAGGCGCCGCCGCCGCCGCCGCCGCCGCCGCAGCCGCCCGCGTGAGTTGCGGTCCCGGGGGCCGCGGGCCCGGCCGGCGCTGAGCAGGTCCGGGAGGAGGAGGAGAGGGGCGCGCCGACCTGGCGGGCTACCGGGAGGGGCGGCCTCGGCGCCCGCAGGCTCGGGCCGCGGGCGGTGGGTCCAGCTGCGCCTCCGTGTATCGGCGCGCACCCCGGGCGCGGGGCCGGGCGCCCCGAGGTGGCTGCTCCCGGAAGCTCAGCCCCCCGCCCGCTGCCCTTGGTCCCGGCCGCGCCGCTCCTAGAGTCGCCGGCCGGGCTGCAGGAGGGGGCGGGCGGAGGCGGGACGGGCGAATCCGCTCGGAGGGGTCAGTGAGGTCGCGCCTGGCCGGTGGGCGCAGGGTCCGCTTCACAGCCGCCTGAGCCGCTGACCAGTCTCACTCCGGGCACTTCGGTGCCGGCGGGGCTGTGGACGCCGACTCCGATGGGGCCGGGAAGGCTGGCCATGGACAGAGGAAAGCCTGGTTCTGGCGAGGCCTGGGCACACGGGGTCCTGTGCCCAAGGAGGGGTGGGCAGAGGCTGTACAGGCCCGACACCCCGACCTCCTGCGGGACGTGGAGGCTCTGAGGGAGCAGATGGGTGAGCCTCGGCCGCAGGGCAGTCCTTGCAGGTGCCAGGTATGGCCCTGGGGGAGGGGTGGCCTCCGGGTGCCCCGGCCCTGACCTGGCTCTGCCCGCCTGCAGCACCGAGGCGGAGCGTGCGCGGACCCGGCAGACCCGGCCCACAGCCCCCATGGAGGGTGCCATGCAGCTGCTGAGCCGGGAGGGCCACACCGTGTCCCACAACTCCAAGCGGCACTACCACGATGCCTTCGTGGCCATGAGCCGCATGCGGCAGCGCGGCCTCCTGTGTGACATCGTTTTGCATGTGGCCGCCAAGGAGATCCGAGCTCACAAGGTGGTGCTGGCCTCGTGCAGCCCTTACTTCCACGCCATGTTCACAAGCAAGTACCACCCCCGTGGGCACTAGGGGGCTCTTCCGGGCTCCCCAGGCGACCGGCCTGACCCACCCTCCCCACAGATGAGATGAGCGAGAGCCGCCAGACCCACGTGACACTGCATGACATCGACCCTCAGGCCTTGGACCAGCTGGTGCAGTTTGCGTACACGGCTGAGATTGTGGTGGGCGAAGGCAACGTGCAGGTGAGGTGCTCCCCCTCCCGACCTGTGTCCCGCCTGGCCTCCTGCCTCAGCTCTCTTCACCTGTTTGTCGCTGCTCCCCTGCCCTCTCTCCCTCCTCACCCACAGACTCTGCTCCCCGCTGCCAGCCTTCTGCAGCTGAACGGCGTCCGTGACGCCTGCTGCAAGTTCCTGCTGAGTCAGCTTGACCCCTCCAACTGCCTGGGCATCCGGGGCTTTGCCGACACGCACTCGTGCAGCGACCTGCTCAAGGCAGCACACAGGTACGTGCTGCAGCACTTCGTGGATGTGGCCAAGACGGAGGAGTTCATGCTGTTGCCGCTAAAGCAGGTAATGTGCCAGCTGGGGTGCAGCTTGGACCGTGACCCAGTCCCTGGACCCCAGACAGCACCCAGCCCTTGCACTCTTTGGCCCCCATCATTTGGGCCCTTAAGGCCCGGGCCTCTCCCCCTGGCCTTTATTCCCAGCCTCTGACCCATGTTCCAGCCCCACCCCCTGCCTCTGACACATCCCCTGCCCCCATCTTCTGACCCCACCCAAGCCTTCTTCTTTGCTCTGGGCCTGGGCACCCAGGAACTGGGTCTGTGGCTCCTGACCCCACTTGGCCCCTCCTCATAGGAACACTGGGCCCCTCCATTGGACTCTCCTTCCCAGGATCATCAGGGCTCCGTGGGCCCCCAAGACCCTCCCCAGATTTCAGGTCTGAGGGTCCCTACCCCCAGGTGCTGGAACTGGTCTCTAGTGACAGCCTGAACGTGCCTTCAGAGGAGGACGTCTATCGGGCCGTCCTGAGCTGGGTCAAGCACGACGTGGATGCTCGGAGGCAGCACGTCCCACGGGTGAGGCCAGCCCCGGGGGCCGCTGTGTCTAGGAGGGGGTGCCGTGTCTGAGGGCCTGGGTGCCCCTGGGCTCCTCCGTGTCCAGGGTGTTGCAGGCACGTGTCTCGAGAAGTGTCCAGGGGACAGGTAGACAGGTGTCTGGGGGGGTCTCACTGCCAGGAGGAAGTGTGCCCACGGGTCCTACCTTCCACCTGACCATGGCACTCCTGCACCCCAGCTGATGAAGTGTGTGCGTCTGCCCCTGCTGAGCCGGGACTTCCTACTGGGCCACGTGGACGCCGAGAGCCTGGTGAGGCACCACCCTGACTGCAAGGACCTGCTCATCGAGGCCCTCAAGTTCCACCTGCTGCCAGAGCAGAGAGGCGTCCTGGGCACAAGCCGCACTCGGCCCCGACGCTGTGAGGGTGCCGGCCCCGTGCTCTTCGCTGTGGGTACGCCCACCTGCTTGGTCCCCCACATCCCTTCCCTCTCCCTTCACCTCTGTCAGGCCTCTTCTGTCCACGAGCCCGACACCAGCCCGTCCCCCCTGTGCTGGTCACATCCTGCGCCCACCCATGCTGCTCCCCTACCCACCTCTGGGGGACCCCATGTGTTGTGTCCCACTCAAATCCCTGTCCGCACCCTTGGAGCCCCAATGCCCTCCACCTTGAGCTGTGCCAGAGCCGCCCAGCCCATTACCTCCCTGAGCCCCTCATCTTGTCCCGTCCCCTCCCCCTCTCTAGGTGGCGGGAGCCTGTTCGCCATCCACGGGGACTGTGAAGCCTACGACACACGGACGGACCGTTGGCACGTGGTGGCCTCCATGTCCACTCGCCGAGCCCGGGTGGGCGTGGCGGCCGTCGGGAACCGGCTGTACGCAGTGGGCGGGTAGGTGTGGAGGCTGCTCTCGGTGAGGGGCCCGTGTGTGCCCACCGGGCCAGCCCTGACCGGAAGTGGACCCCTCTCCTAGTTACGACGGGACTTCGGATCTGGCCACCGTAGAGTCGTACGACCCCGTGACCAACACCTGGCAGCCCGAGGTGTCCATGGGCACAAGGCGCAGCTGCCTGGGTGTGGCTGCCCTGCACGGGCTCCTGTACGCAGCCGGTGGCTACGATGGGGCCTCCTGCCTCAACAGGTAGTGTCGGGGGCCAGGGCAGGGTGGCCTTTAGGGTTGGGCTCGGCCACAGGTGTGCTGCATCAGGACTGCAGAGGTCAGACCTCGAGGGGAGCAAAGCTGGATCCCGTCTGTCTCAAGTCCCCGAGGCCTGTTTTCTGTGCCAGCCACCTGTCCCTTCTGCTCCTCTCTGGGGTCCTTCCCATGGGTCCAGGACTGGGCCCAGGTGGACACTGGCACAGGATCACCCCGGCAACAGGGGCCCGTGCACACCCAGCAGGCCCGCTTCCTGCTCCAGTGAGACTCTGGGGCCAGTCTCTGTGACTTCCCATCCTCTGGGGGAGGGCAGCCCTGGTCTGCTACCACTCAAGGCCAGCAGTGGTCCTGTTGTCCGCAGTGCCGAGCGCTATGACCCCCTGACGGGAACGTGGACGTCCATCGCCGCCATGAGCACCCGCAGGCGATATGTCCGTGTTGCTATGCTTGGTGGGTGACAGGGCTTGCTTGCTGTGGCGCCCACCCCTGCCTGCCCCACCCTGGAGACCCCACACACAGCAGGCAGGCCACGGGCATGTTGATTCCCTGCAGATGGCAACCTGTACGCGGTGGGCGGTTACGACAGCTCCTCACACCTGGCCACTGTGGAGAAGTATGAGCCCCAGGTGCGAAACACCCCAATCACAGGTGTTCCCCTCCCCTAGGGCCACCCACACCCCCCAGAGCCTCAGACCTTTAGATCCCTCTGCCCCTCCCCCCTTGTCCCACAGACACCCGGCCTGGAGGGGGCTGTGTGCTGTGGAGGGGGAGGGAGGCTGGTAGTGGATGTGCCCAGCGGGTTCCCTCACCGCAGGCGAACACGTGGACGCCGGTGGCCTCCATGCTGAGCCGGCGCAGCTCGGCTGGCGTGGCGGTGCTGGAGGGGGCGCTCTACGTGGCTGGCGGCAACGACGGCACCAGCTGTCTCAACTCTGTGGAGAGATACAGCCCCAAGGCCGGTGCCTGGGAGAGTGTGGCGCCCATGAACATCCGAAGGTGTGCTGTGCCACCGCCCGGGAGGGCCCCTGTCCCCCCACAGCCTGTTTGCCCCTCAGAGACAACTGCCGGGTGTCTCACCCCTGCGTGGTGTGCCCATCCCCCCCTCCCTGTCTGGGCTCAGCTCCAGTACCGCCCCCCCCACCCGCACCTCCCAGCTCCAGGAGGCTCCTCCCATGGTCTGTGGCCCCATCCCCAGAGGCTCTGCCTGGGCCTGTGGCCCATCGGCGACCTCACACCCGCCTGCCCCCCCCCCCCCAGGAGCACCCACGACCTGGTGGCCATGGACGGGTGGCTGTATGCCGTGGGGGGCAACGATGGCAGCTCCAGCCTCAACTCCATCGAGAAGTACAACCCAAGGACCAACAAGTGGGTGTCGGCGTCCTGCATGTTCACCCGGCGCAGCAGCGTGGGCGTGGCCGTGCTGGAGCTGCTCAACTTCCCGCCTCCGTCCTCGCCTACACTGTCCGTGTCGTCCACCAGCCTCTGACCCACGGCGGGACCGACAGGCTCGCCCACAGCCTCCCACATGCCTTAAGCCCCACGGGGGGCCAGCGCCTCCCTGCCCTCAACCGCGCATCGGGGTTGGGTTCCCCACCAGGGACGCCCTGTACCGTCTGTCCACCTGTCCGTGTCCATTCCGCAGTGTTCACTTCTGTGTGTGCCGTTTATTTATGCGTGTGTTTATTTATTCAGTATTTATTGACGATGAGTAGTGCCGCAGCTACCAGTTCATACGATTGCTCTGGAAGTTTCTGTGTCTCTGGGACCAAGCTGCCATCCGGGTGTCCTGCCCTCTCGCTGGGGGTAGACACTGAAGGGATGTGGGTCAGGGCCAACTCGGACTCTGCAGATCTGGGGGGACCAAGGGGTAGATGCAGAGCCGTGGGTCGGGGGAGGGGGCCTTCTGAGCAGGTGCAGACCCCCAGCCTCCACTTGGCACAGGCCCTGGTCTCAAGGGCAAGGCGTGCTTCGGGAGGCCCGCGGGGTGGGCCTTCCTGCCTGTGGGCGTGGCGTCTCCTGGATCCTGCACTGAGCTGGCACCGCGTGTGCCCCAGACCCCTCAGCAATATGAGCCGCCTTGGACAATAAACGTGTTCCTCGGGCTCTGGGCCTGTGTCCAGCGTGATCTCTGCCTTTTGGGGTTCTGTCTGGGTTGACCAGGAAGGTCTGGGGGTGGGTATACAGTTGGGCAGAGGTACGGCGTTGGCATCTGGGGCCTTGGAGGGGGCGCCATTGTGTCCAGCTGGGGCAGCACTGTGATGTCCTGGACAAGAGGTGGGCCCTGGCCCCTCAGCCTGGTCCTGCGAGGCCCCGTGGCCCAAGGCCACCATGACTGCCTCACCCCCTGGGAAGTCCACGCCTCCTTCCTGGCTTCTGGTTAGGCCTGTGGGACCCTGACCTTGGCGCAGAGTGAGGACTGAGCCGAGGCAAGCGAGGAGGCTGGGGAGGGGGCCTGGCTTTCCCTTCCCTCACGTTGGACTGGCTTCCCCAGCGAGCACCCCCCCCTTACAGTCACTGGTGACTCAGATGGGCACTGAGGTGGAAACAGGATGTGTGCTCACGTGGGATGCCTCGAAGGGGTCCCTGTCTCCCGAGCTCCAGCCCCAGACAACCCAGCCCAGGTTCAGGGGGGCATGCTCTCTGGGGACAGGCCTGGGAGGCCCATCCTTCACAGGTGGGAGGCTGGGTTGGGGGAGCCTCCCCCATACCTCCCAGGACGGCCTTCTTACCAGAGGACCCAGGGCTGAGGACTGAAAGGCTGGGCCCAGGTAGGAGCCGGTCCGCCCAGAGAGGCTCCACCCTCGCCCGGTGTTTGGGCACCGGGCAGACACCGCCAGCCCCGCCCCAGGAGGTGGGGGCAGAAGGCTCAGGACCCAGGGACCCAGACCTGTCGCCCCGCTCTCTCGGCCAGCCGCCGCCGCCCGCGCCCATGGGGAACAGCCACTGCGTGCCCCAGGCTTCCAGGAGGCTGCGGGCCTCCTTCTCCAGGAAGCCGTCGCTGAAGGGCAGCAGGTGAGGGGCGGCTCAGGCTGGGTCTCGGGGTCGCCCCCGCCCGCCGGGGGGCCAGGCCGTGAGCCGCTCCCTTTGTCCGCAGAGAGGATGGCACCAGGAAGCTGGCCGGCCTCTTCGGCTCGGAGGCTGGTCCCGACGACGGGGACACCACAGACAAGATCTTCTGCTACATCCCGGGGACGGTGAGCGGTGGGCGTGTCCTGCGCGGTGCGGGCGGGGGTGGGGGGCGCAGGGGGAGGGGGGCCTCAGTCCCAGAACCGGGTGAGGAAGTAGGAGCAGCCCCGCCCTAGAAGCTGGTCTGGCCGAAAGTCTGAGCTGAGAACGAAACTGGGGCCGACTCTGAGTCAGTGGGTGAGCAGCGCCGGCCCAGCTGGGCGGGGGCGGGGCCTCCGAGGCTGCTGGGGGGCGCTGTGGCCGGGCGGGCGGGTGCCCCGGGTCTGCAGCCGGGGGGGACTGGCCAGCGTGTCCAGGCACCTTTGGGTTGGACCCAGCACACGTGTCTGCGTTGTCCTGTGTGGGCTTGGATGTTGTGTTCCTGGTGCGATGTGCATCCCCCCTCCGCTCTTCACTCCGAGTCAGGGGCTTGGTGAGCAGTGAACCCCTCGCACTATTCCAGGCCTCAGTTCCTTCCCAGGTGTCCCCCAGCATCCAGCACGCACCACTGCCTCCTCCCATAGCAACGCCCTGCGCCCCCACCCCCACCCCCAGGGCCCTACTGCGAGGATTGGCACAGCCATCTGAGCGTCACCCCGCCCCCTGCCCAGCCCCTGTGGGGGAGACACCCAGCGTTCCAGGTGACTGGCATGGGTCCCAGCATGTGAGGGAAGTGACCCCCAAGTTGTCATTCCAGGAGAGGGTGCAGGAGGAACAGGTGTAACTGTGCCAGGGGCTTGGGCCAGGGCTCCGCCCAGAATGCCTGGGTTGGTCCCCTGCTGGTGTGGGCTCCCACCAATGTGTGCCCAGCAGGCTGGCCCCTCCCTGCCCCCTGAGGTCCAGGGCTCCCTGGGGCAAGGACTGGCTTCAGCAACGTGCTCCCTCAGAGGGATGGGGTCCCGTGTGGCCCCGTCTCGGACCTCAGCTCCTGAGGTCCAGGCCCACACATCGTAGGGCCTGATGGAGTCCCTCTGGGTGTGGCGGTCCTCTTGCCAGGACTGGGGGTGGCTGGACAGGGCACCGGCATGTTGTGTCGGGAGAGGGGGCCCCGGAGAAGCCGTCTGTCCTCGGGTCCTGCCCGTGGTGGCTCTGAGCTGGCTCCTCCCTGGACCCTATGGCTGAGCCTGGGCCACAGGGCAGCTTCACAGCCCTTCCTGCTCTGTGGCCTATTTCTCACCGTCCCATCCCGGCATCATTCCCCGAACTGGGTGTGGGTGCAGGAGGCCCCACCCAGAGGCAGGGAGGCCGGGAAGCTTCGCGTCTGTCTGTGCACATTCCTGGGCTTGTCTAAGGGGCGGCTCAGCTCAGCCAGGGCACGGCAGCCTGGGAGGCAGCCCCTGCCGGCTCCCGGAGGGAGCATGGCCCTCCACAGCCCCCCTCCAGCCGCAGCCCCATCTGACTCCCAGTCTGACTCCCATTTGTGGAGGACTCTCTGTGCCCCAGCATTGGCTGTGTGTGGGCGCCGGCAGGCGGGCACTGAATCCCCAGCACATCTCAGACCTGTCCTGGCCCTGACGATGCAGCAGTGGCCAGAACAGACAAAACCCCTGTGCTCAGGGCGTTCCCATCCCTGTGACACAGCCAGATGGCCAGACAAATGGGCACAGGTATCATGAGGAAGATGCGGTTAGCACTGAGGCGTGCAGAGGGGTCGGGGAGGTTGGGAGGTTGGAGCGGCAGACAGGGCGTGAGGAGGAGGCAACGTGAGCCACTCCCTGAAGGAGGTGCGGAGACTGTCCCAGGCAGAGGGACAGCAAACTCGAAGGCCCTGGGCTGGGCATGTGCCTGATGGGAGGGAGGAGTCAGGGTGGGGGCAGGTCCTCAGGACCCCTCAGCCATTGCCAGGCAGGAAGCCGGTGTCCGCCCGCCCGGCCCAGGGCTAGGCAGCGTGTCCAGGCACATGTAGGCCTCCACTAAAGTGACGTCAGGAGATCAGGGTCACGGGCTCTCTTCCAAGCTCCACGTTCACAGACATCACAGTGGCTCAGAATGGCCTGTGGAGGGACTGGCAAATACATCAGACACGCCCCCCGCCCCCCCCTTTCTTAGTACCAGGTTAAACATTCACCAGCCAATAGAAGATTCAGGAGGGTTTTTTAAAATACATGTTTTTATTGATTTCAGAGAAGACAGGAGAGGGAGAGAGAGGTAGAAACATCAACGAGAGAGAATCATGGATCAGCTGCCTCCTGCACGCCCCACCCTGGGGATGGAGCCCAGAATCCAGGCATGTTCCCAGACTGGGAATCAAACTGTGACCTCCTGGTTCATAGGTTGATGCTCAACCCACTGGGCCACAGCAGCTGGGCCAGGCGGGTTTTGAGTCTTGTCTCGGTCAGACACCCAGAATGCTGTGACCAACAGACTTAGGGGCTGAATAACCAAAATAAGGGTGCACGGCTTGGGAATCTCCTTTGAGTCCAAACATCACTGTCCCTGCCATGGCAGTGAGGCCGTGTGCGTGCGGACTGGAGCTCAGGCCGCCCCCCTGAGCCGTGCTCCCCGCAGGACCTCCCGGGCCTGGAGAGCCAGCGAGAACCCCTGGACCAGCCGTTCCTGAGCGTCTTCAAGAAGGGGCGGCGCAGGGTGCCTGTGAGGAACCTGGGCAAGGTTGTGCACTATGCCAAGGTCCAGCTGAGGTTCCAGCATAGCCAGGTGGGGGCCGGCCGGTGGGGGTCTGGGCCAGCCTGGGCCTGCCCCCCGTGCTCACACAGCAGCCCTGCCCCCCCAGGATGCCAGCGACTGCTACCTGGAGCTGTTTCCTTCCCACCTCTACTTCCAGGCCCACGGTTCTGAGGGACTCACTTTCCAGGTGAGGGAAGCGGGCAGAGGGAGGAGGCTGGGGGGACAGGGAGGAGCCCCCGAGGCGGTGGCCACGGCGCCTGGGGGTGCTCAGCCTCCCACTGGGCCTGGCAGGGGCTGCTACCGCTGGTGGAGCTGAGCATCTGCCCGATGGAGGGCTCCAGAGAGCCTGCCTTCCAGATCACAGGTGTGTGGCATGACCAGTCCCGCCCAGGAGGGTGAGAGGGCCAGGGCGTGTGGTAAGGGTGCCCCCAGTGCAGATGGGGAGCACCTGGTTCCCTCAGAGCTCCCTCTGGCCAGGCCCAAGGACATTGGCAGGACCCTGAGTGTTGAGAGATCCTGGCTTTTCTTCCAATGGGCACATGGCCGTGTGCCTGGCTGGGAGGAGTGCAGCAGGTCCTGGTTAGTGCCGTATTCTCCCCCCAACTGCAGCCCTGGGGTCTGCGGGGCGAGGGGGGGGCTGGGGAGGGGCCTCTCCTGGGGGTGCCGGCCCAGCGCCCCCTGCTCTCCGCCCACAGGCCCACTGCCTGCCCCCCTTCTGGTGGTCTGCCCCAGCCAGGCAGAGCTGGGACACTGGCTCTACCACCTGGAAAAGCAGATGGCCCTCCTGAGAGGGTTGCAACGCTGCCACTCAGCACCCCCGCAGGTCAGTACCATGCACCCCGAGCCCCTTTCCCAGCCCCCCTGCCTGCCTGCCCTGACCCCCGTTTCCCAGGGCCCCCCTGAGGACGAGCTCCCCTGGAGTCTGCAGCACAGGCTGACCCAGCTGCGGACCACATGGGGGCACCAAGTGGTGGGCAGCGCCATCTGCGCCTCGAGGGTCAAGCTGCAGCATCTGCCATCACAGGTGGGTGGGGACACGGGCTGAGGGGTGAGGGGTGAGGGAGGGTGGAGGCAGCAGGTGGGGCCAGGCCCTCGCTCCCCTCCACTCTGCCCTCGACCCCGGCAGGAGCGATGGGACCGGATCCTGGTCCTGTACCCGACTTCCCTGGCCATTTTCTCGGAGGAAGCGGACGGGCTTTGCTTTAAGGTAGGTCCTCCCGCCGTGACCCGCCCCAGGGAGGCACCTGTGTGTAGGGGTGGGAGGGGGCGGCAGCTCAGGAGGAACCTGTATTTCGGGGCCAGTTGGGACAGAGCATCCTGGCCCCACCTACCAGC